AAAAAAAGAAGATATCTTTCAATTCTCAAGGGTTCAAAACCCTCATAGGTGTTATATTTTTGAACTTGGGGGCTTGCTTAATACTGCCCCACATAGCTGCCCTGTTTATATGGTCTGTCTTGAGCTTCTTTAAAGAAATGGTCCCCAAAAAAGGCTGCCCATATGATGATATTATAAAAATATAAAACTTTAAAGCAAGATGATGCTCTTTTTTTTTTTTTTAAAGTCCTGGGGATTGAACTCAGGACCCTGCAGTTGCCAGGCAAGCACTTATTCTACTAAGCTATCTTCCCAGCCCAAGATGATGCTCTTTGACTCAAAATAGGAGGTACAAGCACCAAGGGGAAGAAGGTAGAAGGTAGCAGGCTGCTCCCACAAGAACACAGTGAGGACCTTCTCAACAGAGAGGCAACACGGCACAGTTGGCTCCTAGATAAGCATGTGTAGCGCTAGCACAACTCGGTAACATAGATTGTACCCAATCGAGCTACAGTATGCTACTGTGTTATTATTTCAGGGGGACAAAGGCACAAAAATTGTGTAAAAGACACAACTCCGCCATGATCAGGGCTCAGCCTTTAGGGTATTAGCCCACTGAGCCTGCGCTGGCACAAGTAAAGTGGCTTCCTGAAAGATGAGCTCTGGTGGCTCTTCTCTCTATGCAAAAATCCTGCTACAAAAGAATGTGTGTGTGTGTGTGTGTGTGTGTGTGTGTGACAGAGAGAGAGAAAGAGAGAGAGAGAGAGGTTATTTGTAGGACACAGAGATCCCCCATTCATCCTCCAGATGGTTCATGATTAATACCTCTGTGTCCCCCCATCATCCTCACATTGTTCATGAGACCTCAATTTTTATGAAATGCTATAAGAAGTAGTCTTTAGAGCTGAAGAAACTGGGCACACCCTGAAGATTTGAATGCCCTGTACACAAAGTCCCCTGGCAGACAGTTGTCTTAGAGCCAAAAGCTAGGAAGATGTGGTCCCATGTTTTTAGCACAAAGCACCTAAATCATGTACCCTTTTCGCTTTGGCTACAAGGAAGCTCCCAGACAGGTCTGTGATTTTTGAAAAATTGAATTTTGGGCCTAGTGTCTTCATAATTGCACTTTACCTTTTACTTAGCCTTTATTTCCTTTTCTTTGTAATTTTATAGACTCATTACCTTGCCTCATTCACTAAAACATTCTTTAGAAACCTCCACAAGTCAAGAGTAAATACCATTTAGAAAAACAGATCTAAACTAAGAAAAAAGTAAAACACAGACAAGCTGCTCACTAGAGTTGTTGTGCAAGAGAAAGAACTTTGGCTTTCAGCTTGTTGGTGGCCAAGGTGATAAAGAAAAGTTGTGCCAACTTGTTTTTCTTGGTGTTGAATTTTTTTAAGCTTAAATTACTGTTTTACTGATATAAATAAGGGTGGGGAGGAAAGACAGAAGGAAGAAGGTCAGTTGCGCCGTCCCCGGAGAGCCCCACTTTGCCCTGTCCTCACCATGTCATCTGTGACAGAGAAGTTCATGTACCCAGCCTTGTAGTAAACCAGGCTGGCAGTGTTGAAGACGTAATTGGAGATGGCGAAGTAGACCATCTGGCTGTGATCTTCTGGAAGGCTGAGGACAGGAGGAAGGAGAGCGACAGGGGAGCGGTGATCATGATGGAAAATTTCACCCTGGAGAGAGGAACAGGATTCAGCTGAACTTTTCACTGCACTGCGGGGCTGGGCATCTGAGCTTCAGCTGCTGCTGCTGCGTCACCTGAGGGGGGCACTGGCAGGACCCACGGCCTGCAACTCTGGCCCTTGAGAAGGCTCCTTGGCTGTTTCTCCAAAGCCCCTAGAAGCTCATGAAGCCCCAGGACAGGCTGGCCAGGCCCTCTGTCCCCTATGGCCAGCTGTGACTGCCCTCCCTGCAGGGAACACAGGAAGAGGAAGAGGAGCAGGAGCAGGAGCAGGAGCAGGAGGAAGAAGAGGGGCAGTGTTGAGGCCTGAGGTGGTGACACCTGTCCCACCTCTAGGCTCTGGGAACGCTCCCTATCCTGCTCCATGGCACCTGGCACCCAGGAACCAGCAGAGAGGTGAGAGCAGACCTGTAGTTCTGGAACAGGTGGCCCAGGAATGAGCAGTCCTGCCACTGTAATCCCCTTGGTCGTGCTCCAGAGTCCTCACCTTAAACATCACATCCAGTATCTGGGCTGCTGCCCGAGGGGCTTCCATTAAACTGTAGTCAACATCCAGGAAGCTGTTGATCCCTGCTGTGACTGCAGACAAGGGCAGGGACAAGATTAGGGGCCAGACATGGTGTTCAGCTGATGGAGAAGGAACAGGAGCTCCAGCTGATGCAGGCAGAGCCCCCCACCTTCTGCCCAAGGAACTGTCACCCAGTCTAGGCCTGGGTTGCAGAACAACATCTCCAAGAAAGAGACAGCATGGGTTCTCCTGTCCTTCTGGGAGATTAACAGTGCTGGGCGTGTAGGGTTCAGCCTGGGGTCTGTGCAGTTTTCAGACACACACACACACACACACACACACACACACACACACACACACACAGATTAACAGTGCTGGGCGTGTAGGGTTCAGCCTGGGGTCTGTGCAGTTTTCACACACACACACACACACACACACACACACACACACACACACACAGAGGTCTGGAAGCTCAGGGCTTCACACCTTCAGCCTCTGTTGGAGCTTCATGCCAAGGAGCCACATAATCAGGGTGACCAGGCAAGTCCCAGGGTTTGGCTACTGCCTTCCAGTGCCACAGGCTGGCAAAGTGGAGGGGTCTCCACACACTGGGCCTGCTGGGCCAGCCTGGCCCTCAGGTAAAGGGCCTGTTACTACTGCATGGGGCTTAAGGGCCAAGGGATCACCACATAAAGAACATCTCAGACAGTCAGGTGCTGTCCCTTCAAACTACATGTGCCACCTGGATCCAGGGACACACTTGTCAGTGGCTACTCTGCAGACCCATTCTTACATGTAGGCAGAGGGGGAAATGTGAGTGGGCAATAGCAAAAGCTGCAAGACCCAAGAAGTCCCTTAGCTGGAGCTGCTGAACAAAGACACACCAACAGGGTAGAATACTGCCCAGCTATGAACCAATGAGATCTGTGACCAACGCCATTCTGGACAACTCTTAGGCAGGACCTACAACACACCTGTACTTGCTCTCCTAGGCCTGTGCTTGCTCTTGTAGGTGTACATCCAGAGACACGCACCACTGGTACTGGACCATTCACAGTGGCACAGCTCAGAATGGTGTAAAGTGGCAACTACCCAAGTGACCCCCAAGTGACCTTCCACAGTACAGCGGATGCTGGGTAGGGGGACACTGATCAGTGCCTACCACACAGCAAGGAGAATGGATGGACAGTGACTGGCCTTGTGTCTTAAAGATGAACAAGTTGCCCATGAGGCCAGGTCGCTACTGAAGAGGACCCAAGGAAGCTCTGGAAGCTGGTCATGTTCCACTTTGATCTGGGAGCTAGTTCTGTACACAGGCTCCGTGTGCAGACATTTTTAAGCTGCACACTTAGTATAAGTACCGCACGCTAACCGATTGCGCCACTGGGCTCCAAGCTGCACACTTAGGATCTGAGTACATTTTTCTATTTATTTATTTATTTATTTATTTATTTATTTGTGTGTGTGTGTGGCCAGCTCAGCCCACCAGGGGGCGGGGCTGGCTGGCATGTGGTGCTGGGGGATTGAACCGCGGTCCCTGTGCTTGGCTTAGCTTGTTCTAAGTAGGTGCTTTAGACCACTGAGCCATCTCACCAGCCCCAAACTCTTACGTTCTTTTTTTTTTTTTTTTCAGAACCAGGGATTGAACTCAGGCCCTTACACTTGCCAGGGAAGCACTTATTCCACTGAGCCATCTCCCTAGCCCCGAGTACATTTTTCTATGAATGTACTTCAACAAAAAGTTTTTGAAAATGCCTTCACTTGTGCTGATTGGTGTGCTGATCTAGATGGCTCTCCAAGATACGTGAATTTAAGAGTAGCTACAGGCAAAATGAGGTGTACTAATAGATATGTATTTATAATTATGCATATATTCATGAATAAACATAATACCTACAAGAATGGATAGCCATATGCCTATGTAGATTTATATTTGTACATACAGAGAAAATATATACCTCAAACAGAGCTTACCTCTTGGAAAGTTGGGGAGAAAAGAAATTATTATGTTGGAAATTGAAGCTATGTCCTCATACATGCCAGGCAACAGTTCTACCATTAAACTATATCCCCAGCTCCCCCAAAATGGAATTTTGAATTGTTATTATTATTATTATTATTATTTTGGTGGAATTGGGAATTGAACTTAGGCCCTTGTGCTTGCCAGGGAAGCACTTATTCCACTGAGCCATCTCCCTGGCCCTGAATTGTTACTTTCTATATATCTATCCTACTTAATGTCTTATTTGTTTGTTTATTTATTTATTTATTTATACCAAGGATTGAATTTAGGACCTTGCACTTGCCAGGCAGGCACTTATTCCACTGAGCTATCTCCCAGGTCCCTACTTAATGTCTTATAAGGTACATATATGCTGCCATAAAATTAATGGAATTAAAATGTCCCTGGGCTGGTGAGATGGCTCAGTGGTCTAAAGCACCTACTTAGAACAAGCTTAGTAAAGCACAGGGACCGCGGTTCAATCCCCAGCACCACATGCCAGCCAGCCCCGCCCCCTGGTGGGCTGAGTTGGCCACACACACACACAAAAAAAAAAAAAAAAAAAAAAATGTCCCTGGCCGGGTGGGCAACTTACCTGGCAGGGTTTGGAGATAAGGTTGCAGGTCGGAGGCCACTGATTTCTCCACTATTTCACAAATCTGGTGGAAAAATGGGAAGAGAAAGGCTGATTGTGCATCTCAGCTTTAGTCTGACACTCTGAGAATCACTTCAGGAGCTTTTCACCTGTTCTCAGTCATCACTGATTCTCTAAGTATTTGTAAGTACTTACCATGTGCCAGGGACCAAGGAAACAGAAATGATTTGTAACGGCCCCTGGGCAGACTCCAGGAGATTTTCCAAGTCTATGCCAACACAGGCATCTGAGCTGGGCGAAGGAGCACAGGCTGGAGACAACACAGGAAACTACACCATTGAAAGACATGTCTTTGGGACGCTCTGGCCTCTCAGAAGTCAGGGGCAACAGCAGGACTAGAAATAGTCACACACACGAGTATATAGGAAATAGATGCTTAATAATGGTCACCACTGAATGGGCTAGTTGGACTCACAGTGTGCTCGTTTCCTTTGATACCCACAGAGGACCGAACGGTCACATCTAGAAGCCACTTGTACGTTATTTATCGCCACCCTCTGAGCTGTTTGCTTTTTGAGAGAAGGAAATATGTTTCCCAGCCTGTTTGCTGTATTTACTATTGTGATCACTCAGATTATTTACCATGACAGTCAATGAAATATGACTGAGAAAAGAGATTTTTCTAAGAAAATCAAAGATAAATACTCTGGAAAGGTGAGATGCTAAAAAATGCAGTTCAATTTGGACAAGAGAGCAGAAAAGCTTAGGAGAAAAAAATTATAAAAATCTAGAAGGCTTCTGCACTGGGACAGCTCTGCAAGTGACATTAAATTCTCATGACTAAAAAAAAAAAAAATGGAATTTGTGGCAGCTCAATGTTATAGGTGAGGACCAGGGACATAGGTCAGTAGAATAAGCGCTTGCCTGGCAAGCACAGGGTCCTGAGTTCAATCCCCAGTACTGAAAAAAAAAAAAGTTATAGGTGAGAAAACCAAGCACAGTGCTGTTCCCAAGAGTAGTTTTGTGCCATGCAGCAAAAGATGACAAATGAATTTTCATTTGCTTTATCTTAAAACTCTTGGGTTAACATATAAATGTGTATATGAGAAAATCTTCAGTTTAATTTTTTAATTAAGTCGTTATTACTGATTGTGACATCCCCATGTGCACTATGGCTGAGAGGCTTGTGGGGGCACTGGCCTGGGGCAGGATTGCTGATGACTTCTCAGGAGAAGCCGCATATTAAAGACAATCTTCAGGATGAGTGGGCCTCAGCCAGGCACCGAGTGATGGGAAGGGTGGTGCCAGGACTGGGCAGGTGAAGGCCTGTCTCTACCTCCCTCTGCAGCTGCCCCATGTTCTGGGAAAGCAGGATGGCAGTGAGCAAAGAAAGAGGTCAGAAGGAGCCCTTACAGAGGATGGCTAGGAAACTCCTGTGGGCTTCACTTAGGATTGTTCCTGTGATCTCCCTTCAGATAAAACCAGATCAGACCAGCCCAAAGTCCCTGAACTTTGGGGCCTTATGGATTGGGATGGGGGGATTTGGCCCCAGGTGTACAGCAGGGTCTTCTGGACAGGCAGAGGCAGGGTCTGTTAGGGGTGCAGAGATGAACAAGGATGGGTCACATCCTGCTCAGTATCCTCTGGTGCGTGACTTTTGCAGCAGCTCTGTTTTGTGGTCCCCTCCCACAGGACACAATGGCGAGGCCAAGCACTTCCCAGGGGTTGGGAGGAGGACGGGAACGAGATGGTGAGTATTTACCTCTGGAGAGCAGCTATGCTTAGGCCTCTGGATCAGAAACTACACACCCCAGGCTGGGTGGGGATTAGCAAGGTCCTGTACCAGGATATAGAAAAGCAGCCCAGGAGAACGAGACTTGGAAGACCCACAGGGACTGACAAAGGAGACTGGGGGCTGGGGATTTAGGCCTGACCTATTAATTACAAGATCATAGAAAACATGCCCAGAACAGCCACCAAAACTCTGCATGTAGACTTTTCTCAAGAACTTGAGCCAGTTTGCAAGAGGATGGCCAAAACCTGATGTCTGAGATATAGCATCCCAGCAATCCCTTTCAGGACCTGGATGTAGAAATTCTCATGGGCTTCCTTGAGATTTGGACAGCATAAAAGGACACAGACACCAAGAAGTGCCTACTATCATGGCTTTCCCGTGATCACCCACTGCTTTCCCCAAGGGAAGCTTCTTCCCCTCACTCTGCCCAAGCTCACTCTGCAGAGCCAGTTTCTCTCTTACTCTTCACGTTGACTTTTTCAAATAAACTTTGCTACTGGTTTTTGCTTTTTTTCATTCAGTTCTTTCTTCAAGATGTAAGGAAACTGGAACTAACTAGCTGGAATTAACAACCTGGAATCTGACTCCAGGACCTGGCAACAATTAATCAAAGAGCCATTTTTAGAAGGAACTACGCTATCATATTTTAGCCTAGCCAGGAGATTCTGACAACAGGAGCAGGGGTAGGTAAGACCTCCGACTCGCCCAAGACAGCTGGCCCTTCCAAGGCCTTTGGTAGGACAGGCTCTGCATCCCCTTTCTGAGAAGGGCTTATTCATGGGCTGGCCTCTCACAGCCGGAAGACACTGGGCAAATTACCCCTTTCGCAGAGCATCCTCTGTCAGATGTGGAGTATGGCACCTGCCTCAAAGGTTGAGCTCTGGCTTCAGCAGGGCTGTGAGTACAGAGGGCTTGGTTCTTTGATCCTGGCTAAAGCAGAGGCTCAAGGAATAACACCTGTTATTTTATAAATAAGTTATTATTGCTATTTATTTATTTATTTATTTATTTATTTTTTTGACAAACGATCTTACTGTATAGCCCAGGCTAGTCTTGAACTCGCTGTGTAGCCTAGGCTGGCCTCGAGCTCATGGCAATCCTCCTGTCCCACCTGCCTAGTGCTGAGATCACAGGTGTGTGTCACCAAGCCCAGCTGTCAAGGCAATAATGCTTACCGTATTTTACTACTGTGATGATTAATTGTAATGCTTTACTATTGTTACATAATATTACTAATCATTATTACTACCATCATCAAAATGGGAGTGTAAATCAGCATAACAACATGCCAGCGGGGTGTCTAAGGAAGAGGCTGGCGTGTTTTTCCAGTTCTCCTAAACTTCAGAACCAGAAAAGGACACAGCTTGCTGCATTGTGCGAGGGCTGCACGCTAATCCTTCTACCACGAGAGGGCGCGCAAAGCCTGATGGGAGGTTGGGGGGAGGGGAAAAGAAGAGAGCCCCGGAGGAGGGAAGGGGAGAGAGAGACACACACAGACACAGACAGACAGAGAGAGACAGAGACAAAGACACTGAGACAGAGAGAAAGAGAGGGACAGAGAGAGGCAGAGAGAGAGAGAGAGAGAGAGAGAGAGAGAGAGAGAGACTTTCTCAAGAACTCCAGCCTCCTTCTTCCATCTCTGTTTCCCTAGATTGATTACAGCACAGCTCCGAGTGTGTAATATTTCACAAATGGGACTGGGGGTGAAAGATTGTTGCGAGAAACTGGAAATTAGCACGAGGCCTTTTGTTTTAATTAAAGCTCTGTACAGTTTCCACCTCCCCTTGGAGGGCGCCTGCCCGCCAGCTTGCTCAGCTCTCCCTGGATCTCACACCTGGGGAAGTGGCCTGCCTGGCTTCCCCAGCACCGAGTGATGACTTCCTTTTGGGAACGTAGGGCAGAGCAGGCCGGGTTAGTGTTAGGGTTAGGGTTAGCAAGGCCTGGCCAGGGGACAGGTGGGTTCTTCTTCTTCCCCATGACACTGTTTTTATACCATTGGCCAAACATCTAGCTATTTTCTCTTCAATTGGTTGGACCTGGAGCTTGATTTGTCCTCCTGGGGCTGTGGCCTAAGGACCTCCAAACTTTCTGGGGCAGAGAGAGCCATGAGGGACCCGCCTTATGCAGTCCAGCAGGTGTCAGGCTGTCTGGACCTTCTTACCTTGCTCTCTAATATTCTTCGGAACTTGGACTCAATCGTGTCGTGGAAGAGTTTCAGCAGCCACCTGGGAAGGAAGCACAGCCGGCCATCTGCCGCTGGACATGGGGACACCCAGGACAGCCAGGCCCGTCCACTCCCTGTCCTGTGCACCTGCCCACTCTGGCTCAGCGCATCTGGCTTCTCAGCCACCCAGTACACACTGATTGGATTCAGTGCGCTTGGGGGAAGGGGCTCAAGGATCCACACTTCTAAAAGGAACTGAGACTCAAAGAGATGAAATAATTTGACCATGGACCTTTTTTTTTTTTTTTTTTTAACATACTCTCCTTCAGTCAAAGCCCACTTTCATTTGCCTTTGTTTACTTATTCGTAAGGTTTACTTATTTATTTTCTGTGGGATGACATATTCATACTCACAGCTTGAATTTGCATGTGTTCCTTCCAACAGGGCCCCCAAAGGATGCTCTCCAACATCCCACCTGGATCCCGCATTTATCAGAGCCAGGCTCAGGCCTGGATGGACCCGGGGTGCGCCAGCAGTGCAGCTGGTGGTGTCCTTGGGATGACTTACCCCAAGCCCCCAGATAGGTCCACCTCCACCTTCTGGATGTAGCTGTTGCAGCTGGAGGCAGTGACCGTGGGCCTCCCGGAGGACTCGCTGCCCAACACGAGGTTGACAGTGATAGAGACGCCCATGACCTGCACGTCAAAGGAGCCTTGGAGTTTCCTGGGGGAAGATTGGAGAAGATCAGAAAGTTCAATTCTTACCTCAAAAGAAGTGGCACTGACTAAGCAAAAACTCAAGATGTATTAACAAGTAAAAAAGATTTAATAATAAACAAGAGATCTAGGCAGCCTGGGTGAGTATTTAAAGTCAGGATGGGCACAGGCATTTCTAACAAGATCCAAGCCCGAAAGTCATAAAGGACATGGCTGTTAAACTTGCAGGCATAGAAAATTCAAACTTTAGTGCATGAAAATACAATATGTGAAGTACACAAAGTGTACCACGAGACAGCCAGAGAGCCAGTTTTCTTTCCGTACAAAGAACAAGTCCATAAGGACAAGATTAAATTAAAAGAAACTTAAAAACCCCCAAAGTTATGGGCAGCAGGTTCAATGGCAAATCATCACATGAAAAGCTATTAGAAATAGCCTATCAATCCTGGAAGTTTTCAGCTACAAGATCAACAAAGCTTCTGAAGCGTTAGTGCTCAGTGATGGTGAAGGGGCGGGAGACAGACGTTCCAAATGCCAGAGACACACTGGGCACAGATCCATGGCATCTGCTCCATTTCCAACACACATCTCCTCGGCTGGCAATCTGACTCCTAAGCCTTTATTCTGGGCTCTTTGTGCCCAGATATATGTGTGGTGCTGCCTCACCAAAGCACATGGCTAATCTGAAAAAATGAAAAATCAACCTAAAGGTCTACCTGTAGTGACAGGTTGTGGGCATCTCTGCTATGCAGCCTTTAAAAGACAACGGGGCAGAATGTGGTATATTTGGCTGGGGAGATAGCTCGGTGGTCTAAGCACCTGCCTGGCAAGCACAAGGACTGGGGTTCAATCCCCAGTATCTCATGCTATGCTGGCCTCAGAACCCTGGCTGCTCCATGCCAGCCAGCAAAACTGGGTGTGGTGGTGCACACCTGTAATCTCCACTCTGGGGAGGCTGCAACAGGAGATCATTATGAGTCTGGGCTGCGTGGTGAGACTCTGTACCAAATACACAGAATAAAATAAAATAAAATAAAAATTTTAAAAAAGAATGTGGTGTGTCCATACAACACAAATTCATCCATCAACAGGACCTAATTGCACACTGCAGTGTGGATGAACCTCGAAAGCATGCTCAGTGGAGGAAGACAGCCTGTCACCTATTGTAGGGCTCATGTGACATCTCCAGAGAAGGTTGATCCAGGAGACAGCATGCAAGTTAGAAGTCAGCTGGGGCTGAGTGAGGGACGAGAAATGGCAGGAACTGCTGAGTGGGCCTGGAGTTTTTCCCTGGGATGATGAATTATTTTTTCACTAGATACACATAGTGGTCGTCAGCATTGTGAATGGACCAAATTGTGCCCTTTTAAATAGCCAATATTATGTCAGGTGAATTGCATCTCACATAAGAAAGTAAAATAAAAAGAATGAAGCACATCTTCATACACTCATGTGAAGAGATCATTTTAAGAATTCAGTGACAAAAGCCAGTGAAGAGTGTGGCATGGTCCTTTCATGGAGATGGAACGAAGGAGTTCAGAGGTGGCATCCCACTGAGTGCTTTCCAAAGCCGCTCTGTCAGTAGTTGTAGAATGTGAGCTACCTGGGTCATTAAAGACTTTTACAGCAGTCACTGAAAAGAGCCAAAAAAAAAAAAAAAAAGAAAACAGGTACAGCTAATTTTAATAATACCATTTTTGTGTTCTGTTTTACGCTTTATTTTCAAATCTGGTGTTTCTCACTTACAGCCTCAGTTTATACTGGGTGCTTTTGGATACCTATGGCTGGAAGCTACTGTGGAGGCTACTATGCTGGGCAGCGTGACCCACAATGTAAAAACATGGTGTGGTCTCTGGGCTGGCCTTTCTGGGTGGGCTGAATCGTGTCCTCTGCTGAAACCCCAGGACCTACTCATGCCTGTATTTGGAGGCGGCCCATTTAAAGAGATGATGAAGTTAGAGAAGAAGTTCATGGACGTGGCCCCGGATCCAACCGGGTTGATGTCCTCAAAGGAGATGCTTAGGACACAGGAAGAGATGTGGGCTTTCAAGAGCACAGGGGACCATGTGGCAATGCAGCGAGCAGCTGCCACTGCAAGCCAAGGGGAGGCCTTGGAAGAAACCAGGCTGGCTGACGCCTTGTTAACAGACTTCGGGCTCCAGAGCCGGGAGAACCATGCTTTTCTATTCCAGCTGAAGGAATAGTACTGGCCGCAGCAAGCTAATACTCCCTCCAAGCTCTGGAGGGCCAAGAAGTGTCTAAGTAGGAAGGTAGTAACTGGGCTGTAACTGACTGCTGGATAAGGGAGAAGGCCTCACAGGGCTGAGCAGGGGGACTCAGCGCGTGGCCCACGCCACCTGCTAGCTGGGGCGGGGCAGCTTGAAGCTCCAGCTGCTCACCAAGCTGCCTCCTTTCCTTCCTGCTGCCCTGCTCCCTCCCCTCAGGTCACCAGGTAAAGCTCCTGCTTGAGGTCTGCTTCTGGGAAGCCACAGTGCTCCAGGGAAGCCAGTGTGTCAGCACAGGAGAGGAGGAAGTGTGGGCTCAGTCCCTGATCCACCTCTGTGCTGGGCTCCCTCTGTCCCTTAGATGGCCTTTGTGACGAGCTAGGAGGGACCCAAGAAGGACAGATGAGGGCCAAGGTGAGGGCCTGAGGACCTGGGAGCAGAGCCAACTTACAGGAATCTGTTCATCTTCACCTTCCACCTGCCCTCCACGTGGACGGCGGCATCAGAGATGGAGAGACTCAGGCCATGGCTGGGCAGCGGCCTCAGCACAGAGCTGCGTAGCTCCCAGCTGCGGATGTCCAGGCTGAGAGGAGACAGGCGGAGGGCGGTGTCAGCTGGGGCCTGGGCCTCACAGGGACCTCATTCCTGCAAGGGGGACTGGACCAGCAGGAAGAGACAAACCCAACACCACCCACTGCCAGGTGCGGGGCACATCCCTCACGTGCTAAGCATGGCACATCCCTCATGTCACTTAGACCTGACCCAGGAGTAAGCACTGTTCTTGTTTCCTTGTCACAGAGGAGAGACAGAACTCAAGGAAGGGACACAATTGTTCACAGCCACACAGGCAAGATGAGGCCCTATGAATCCTGGGGTCCTGGCTGGCATGGGGTAGGGTGGGGTGGGGGGTAGGCCCATGCCTTGGAATTGCAAGTCTTTCCCTAAACTCAGCACCCCAGGAGGGGTGTTAGATTCAGGGAAGACTGAGGCAGTCTTAGAGACCGGAAGGATGGGCAAGGGGCCGCCTGTGGGAAAGCAAGGGCCAATTTGCCAATTCCTTTACATTTGCCTAACACATAACAGGCGCTCAGATGTTTGCTGACAAACTGAGTAAAAGAGGAAGGTGTGGATGAAGCAAGCAGCCAGCAGGAAGCAGGTAGCAGGCTGGGGGTGGGGGACTGCCCTCCGCCACTGTCTACCCTTCAGCAAGTAATCCATGGATCTTTTAAAGAGTATGACGGGACTGGAGAGATAGCTTGGCAGTCTAAGCACCTGCTGGCAAGTGTAAGGACCTGGGTTCGATCCCCAGCATTGCATGCCGTGCTGGCCCCAGAACCACAGGCGCACCATGCTCGCCATTGAAATAGGTAGGTGCTGAATACCAGCTCTGGGGAGGCTGAAACAGGAGGATCACTATGAGTCTGAACTGCAAAGTGAGACTCTGTACTGAACAAACAAACCAAAGATTTTTAAAAAGGAAGAAGAAAGAGCAGGGGCTGCTTCTTCAAAGTGACCTCTTGAGGACTTGGCTCTAATGCTACCTCCTCTGGGAGGCCTCCGCTGGCTCCCCCAGCTACTGGCTTCAGTGCTAACACTTGGGCTACTATATTTCAAGTTTAAGGAGTCTCTCCCCTTCCAGGTTCTGTGCAGTGGCCAGACTAATCCTGTGTTACCCTGGAAGGAAGAGGCGGTGTCAAGCCCACAGGACAGACAAGGAGGCTGAGGCTCAGGACACACCAGCAGCGGCGTCTGCCCTGTCAGTGCAGGAGCCCAGTTCCCACCCACATTTCTCTTTGAACTCCTTGGAGAGCCTTCCTGCAGTCTGCCCCAAAGAGCTCCCTGAGCCCGTCCTGGAGCTTTTTCACCCTCCAGCTCCAGCCTCTCCTCAGCCAGCCCGGACCCCAGAAAAGGCAGTGATACCTGTGGAACTCATAGTTCCCACGGCCAATGCGGCTTATCTTGAAGTCCCCATCGAAATCAGGCAGCGAGATCTCCTGCAGCTTTCTCCGTAGAGCTGCCAGCCCCTCCTGGGCCGCTGTGGATGGGGAAAAGCTGGGTCAGTTTGGTCTGCCTGGCCCCCTCCCCTGCTAGCACCTTCTATGGCTCCCACTTGCCCTGGGGAGAGAAGAAATCTTTATTAGCATTAATTATTGTTGCAGTTATCAAGCCCCTCTGGGTCCCCTGACAAACTGTCAGGGACATCCCTACATTCTGTATGGCTTTACGTTTGTGCTCCCTTACACGTTAAGGAAAACTTGGGCCCCTTTTGCCAACACTTCTACAGGGCAGTAGCACTGTGTACTTGGATACCAGGTCTTCTTTCCTGTTCTCCCTGGCATCTGGCCTGTGGAGAACAAACAGAAGGATTTTTAAGGCCAGAATCTTGGTTTGATGTCTTTCCAGCTGAGTGACTTGAAACCAGCCTGCAGACTTCACTTTCTCCACCTGCCAAAGCCCTTACCTCTTTGAGGTGGCGAGAAAGTCAAAGGGCATCACAACTGCTGAGCAAAACAGTGCCCAGGAGAAGAGCGCTGTCTGTAGCTCGAGCTTGGCCTGCTGCAGGCACTCGGTGAGCACCCACAGCTGTACAGTGGGGCTTGTGGCACTAGAACTACACAGAGACCACAATGCCCGGCCTTAAAGACTGGTTCCATAAACACGGTACACACACTTGCATGGTGGAAAGCAGGAGAAGACAGACCCTCCCGATTTAGGACTTCAGTAAGAACAGCACTTAGTGGGCCCCACTGCTTGTTCTGAGACAGGAGGGACCTGGAGTTCCGTCCCCAGCAGGGCTGAGTACACAGAGGACTGAGGTCTCCCCTTCAACCTCTTCCCACTTGTTACCTTCAGTCTGGCAAATGCATACTACTTGGCCAACTTGGTGTCCACAACCCCTTCTCCTGGGAGCCTTCTGTCCCTGACCATTCTGGGTTCCTCGTGACCCTGCCTGGCCAAGGGAATGTTATTCCCCCACCTAACAGCGAATGCAGTGGAGGCTCTACCCCTTTGGCTTTTTTGGGGTGCGTGGGTCCACGAGCTCCCTCATCCCTTGAGCAGGATAATGCTGAGGTGTAGTTTCAGCATCTTTTAAAATGATAGTCCTACTTTGACCCATTCTTTTAAGTTGGGACATAACATACAATAAATCTAATTGTAAAGATTTGCTGGGTAACTGGAGAATTGCCCCATGTCCCTGTGACGCCAGCCCAGTCCCCTGCACAGGGCACCCCTTGCCCCACAAGGTAATGGCTGCTCTGACCTTGGCCTCTAAGGGATGTGCTTTCAGAGTCCACCCAGTATCCTCCCAGCGGAACACTCTGGTCCCCTTGGTGGCAGCCTGGGAGTGACCAGCCCCCTGCTCCAGCTCACACGCCTTCTCCCTTGAAGCCTTGGCTGGAAGCATCTCTCACAGCAGCTACTGAGATGGAGCACATCTCTGTCCTGGTAGGAACCCAGCTAACACAAGTGTGCTGTGCCTGAGTCACACAGCAGGGTGTGACCAGCCAGAATCCCCGCCAGAGCCCTGGACCCAGAGGCTGCCCCATGGGAGTGGGCAGCCATCCTGGCCCTCACTGTGCCCCAAGGGTCTGATGCCAACTGTGTGGCTTCTTACCATATGACAGGCCCTTGTCAGTGATCCTGGCCACCAAGCCTGGATTGGCTCCCAGCACTGCTGCGGCAGATGTGAGCAGCAGCCCCAGAAGAAGGGACGGCAGGGGTCCAGGCAAGACACCCATCTTGGACTCTGGGTGGGTGGCAGGACTGTCTCACATGGCTAGGCTGGCTCCCTTAAGTATTCAAGGCCGAAAGCTGGGGGTGGCCCGGAGGGAGGGCGGGCACCTGGGAGCGGGAAGGGGAGGCACACTGACCGGAACCTGCTTGCAACATTGTTGCGGTTGGGCATAGGTCACACTTGGACACCAGTCGCTGCTGCTCAGTTGGAAAGGGGAGGTGGTGCCCAGGCCCAAGAGACGATGCCTGCTTGCCTTGCCACAGAAACCCACATTCGTAGATGTTCTGTCTCCTCCTGTTATTCAGGGTTTAAAAGCTGGGCTGGGAAGGCGAGGTGTTACAGACAGAAATGAAGTTTCCAGGAGCCGCTGTGCTCACTCAGGGTGGCTATGTGGAGCGTCACCATAGCGGTCCTCTCGAGCCATCTAGTCTCTTTTATGCCATCCACACCTTTTGGGAGCCCACCTGTGGCATCCTGGGAGTTATCTGGTGCTGCCCCGACCTCGTGATTACAGGCTCCACCCACTGCCCCGCCCAGCTTTCCCACGCCCTGCCTTGTATCTCAGGGCGCTGTGATGGCTTTTCTCCGGGTGGGTGCGCTGGCTTATGGGTGCTTAAAAAAACTTTTTATAGTTGAATGTGGTAGCACATGCCTGTAAATCCTAGGACTTGGGAGGCTGAGGCAGGGGGCTCATGATGGACAACCTGGACTACACTGAGTTCAAAGCCAGCCTGGACTACATAGCAAGATCCTGTCTCAAACAACAATAAAAAGACTGTTTTTGCCTGCGGGTATGTAAATTTTTTATTTTCTTGGGCTGTGGTTCTGGGCATGTATTATATGTACAGTATGTAAACATAATAACATTTCTTTTGGAAAACAAAGTTTTGAGTAGAAATTGTGCTCGATTTGGGGAGTTTTGCTCCACCCCTCCCTATGATTGAGAGCTTCGTTCTGCCCTCCCCTGCAGGCAACCTTTCCTGCTCACCCCGGTGAGACATCCTCATGTCCTCTGGGTTAGGAGAAGGTCCTCTCTGGGGTCCCAGAGTTCCTTGTACTTTCTCCAGCGAGGCATTGACCCTCTGTGTTTTGGTAGCTGTGATCATTTACAAATACGTGCAGGTTCTCTCGTGCCTCTCCCGGGACCTGCCAATTGAGAGAGAGCCTTCCCGTCCGCCTCAGACCGAGTGTGGCAGAGCACCGGGCTCACTTCAAGGTGGCCCACAGGAAGCACCCAAGGTGCTGGGGTTGCAATCAAAACTTCCCCATTCAGCACAGAGAGCCCCACAGGCCGGCCCTCCTGTTCCTCTTGTCCCTGCGGCTGAGGTCTGAGGGTCTCTGTGTGCCCCCTTTCCCTTGCCCTCCAGCCTGGTCTCCTCTAGATATTAGACTGAGCCTCCTGCGTTCTGCAGCCGTGCAGTATTAGCAAGAGCTAGAGGGAAACCAGTCTTGGGGCGGGGGAGATGGCTCAGTAGAATAAGCACTTCCCTGGCAAGTGCAAGGGCCTGAGTTCAATGCAAGGGCCTGAATTCAATCCCTGGTTCCACCAAAAAAAAAAAAAAAAAAAAGGAAACCAATCCTTACTGAGCACCCACAGTGTGCTGGTAAAGCCACAGGTGCCTCTCTTCCCTCCTGCCCCTCTCTGCGGTCATTTCTTCATTTGGGGACTCTGAGGGGTGAAGTGATATCGACAACCGGCCCCCATCAAGCCTGAGCCCAGGTTTGGGGGATGCTGGGAGACCAACAGTGAAGTGAAACTGGCCTGGCAACAGGCTGGACAGACAGCAGAGCAGAGTTTCCCTGTGTGCCTTCTGGCACTGCTTCCTGTCCTCAAGGAAGGCAGCCCCGTCTGCTCCCTAGGCTTCCGCTGTTCCTGTGTGTAAGGTGGAACACGGCGCTCCCATGGATCTTGCAGCTTGGAGAGCAGAAGAGGATAGTCTGAAGGGTTGGGAATTCCTGGGGACACAAGTGTCACCCGCTTCTGGTGGCAGGGGCATTAGCTGCCTGGGGTTTTCCCACAGCAATGATCTTTGGACTGTGGCACTGCCAAGCAGGGTGCCGGCTGGACCCAGGCCAGGCCTCCACTCCCATGGCAGCTGCTCCGGGGTAAAGTTTCTGCTGACAATTCAGGACTTGGCAGAGGCCTCAGGGAGCGGTGCAGCCCAGTGCCAGGTTGCCCTTCCCTGTGGGCAAAAGCCGCAGTAGGGCACTGGGTCCCCTTGCCAGGACAAAGGACTCTGTCTTCTAACAAAGACAGTGCCCATTGTGTCTCCACTGCAAGTGCCTTGGCGGAGAAGTCTAGCCTGCGGCACCCACCATGCCCAACAGACTAAGTAACTCAGAGTAGATAATCGTGGAGGGGCTAAATGAACCTCAGGTTCCACGGTACAGACTCTGGGTCTGATGGCCTACGTTAGAATCCTGCATTCTCCTCATCTGTTGGGTTCAGCCAGAGGGCAGCATGACGGCAGGTCTGAGGTCAGGACACCTTTCCCTGCTTCTTCCTAGCAGCAGAGGCTGTGTCCTGCCCAGTAGTCCCTTGCCCGCAGCTCCTGTCTGCCCTGGGAGTGGATACTTTGGGCCAGGAGACTGCTGAAGGTGGAACTAAAAACACACAGTATGGAATCAGAAGCCCTGGGGGCTGCCGAGAAAGGCTTGGTAAGGGAGGTGGCATCCTGCTGGTTCTGGGCCACATGGACATTTTGCTTGTGCAGGAGGGAAGGACAGTCTGGGGGAGGGAACAGCATGACTGGAAGAGTAAACACAGAGCCATAAAAAGTGAAGGACTAGGGGAGATAGTTCAGTGGCATAAGCACCTGCCTGGCAAGTGCAAGGCCCTGAGTTCGATCCCTGGTACCAAAAAAAGAAATAGTGAAGCACCAGGCTCAGGAAGCTGAGTCCTATCACAGTTCTGCTCCTGTTGGGCTTTGGCAGGGAGGAAACTGTGTTCCTCACTTGGCCTCCAATGCAGCCAGTGAAGGGGACAAGCAGTGGTTTGGGTCCGATGGTGTGTGGACAAACCACCTAGTGATCTGATTTAAACGTGAATTCTGAGTCCTGGGCTTCCTTTGCAGGTAGAGACTGCATCCCTAAGCTGCCTGATGAGGCTCTGAGAATGGGAACTAAATGAGCCCACCTTCCCTCCGAGCACGGCCTTTCCACGACCCTCTTCACCCATGTGCAGCTTTCCATGGTGGCACCCACACTCCTGAGAGGACAACGATGCTATAAGGACCTGCATCCGTGGGTCTCTGTAGGGTATGTGGGGTCGGGGGTTTGATATCTGCGGTAATGTCTCCAGCAGCCCCATCACCTGCACGTATACACACACCTCACCAAGGACCGGCTCTCCCTCCGGCCCTCTCTGCCTCTGCGCCTGACAGCATCTACTGCCTTGATGGCTTTGGACCTTGAAGGAGCTTCAGAAAGAATGGAAATTTCCCAGCAAGGAAGGGTACATCAGTGTTTGCCAGAGGCCAGTTTGCTGATTTCTTTTCCTGAAATCCAGAGAGCCATGGTCTTCACAACTGGGGACACAGAGCCTGCGGTGGGGAAGGGACGGCCCCGTCACACAATTACCCACCTGGCAAGGCCAAGCCTGAGGTCTGGCTGGCCAGGGCCCTAATGCTTAGCTGGCTCCAGCCTGGCAGGCAGCCTGGAGCATTTCTGGGAATCCCCTACTGTGCTTGGGGATCAACTCCTAGGTTATTTTAAAAATAAAAACATGGGGCCCATGCTCTGCACAGGCTTGGGGAACAGTGTGGAACAGCCCCAAACAGTCGTGGGCGTGTGTGAGGGGAGTTGGGTCTTGAGTGTTAGAGCTACCTGGGATGTCCCTGTCATCCTCTGCTTGGCAGAGTTCACTGCATGTGCTTCCCAGAACAGCTGGAGGAGCAGGGGCTACTAGGACCCCGGCTTCACAGCTGAGGGAAGCAAGGAATGCAAAATCCACGAACCGCCCAGGGTCCCAAAGCTATGAACAGCAGCCCTGGGGCTTGAACCTAAGGTGTCTGCAGACACAGCTCACAGCTTACCACATGACTCATGAGAGGTGGCAAATTTGGAACTTGGTTTCCCTGTGCCCCACCCCGTGCCTTACCCCTGATACTTAATAAATCAGCATTTCCAAAAAGAACCCCAGGAAGGTAATGTTTAACCCAGCAGGGATACTGCTGAACGATGAGCTCTTAAGTAGTCTGGAGTTCTTTGTCCCTTCTTTTAATTTTTTCACTAATGGTTTTTGGTTTTGGAGAAGTTCAAAGGGCCGGCTAAATAGCTCAGTGGATTAAAGCACCTGCCAGCAGGCACAGGGGCCAGAGGTTTGCCCCTGGGGCGCACAGAGATGGCAATTGAGACTGGGCGTGGTGGTGCATCCTGCCTCAGCCTCCCTAGCCTGAGACAAGAGGTGTCTACCAGTGTACCCAGCTTTGCATAACACCACTGATAAATATTGTACCCGCCATAATGTTCACAGGCAGTGTCAGATCCCAGAATACCGTGCATTCCGCATCCCTCAGCTTTGTAGAGAGCAGGCAGGAGCTGTGTAAATGCTTAGGAAAGCAGGGGACAGGTGCAAGAGGGAGCCAACCTGCATCAAAGGGAGTGAAGGGAGGAGGCCAGGGTGGATGAGGCCAGCCTATGGCCCTCCCTCAGTAGTTATTCTTTGCCCAGCAGCCAGAGGGCCACCCAACATTCCACCTGGATTGTGCCCCCCTCTGTCAAAGTTCTCCAGTGGTTCCTTTGTAGTTTGGAACAAAACCCAGAGTCCTCACCACCACCTTCCAGCCTCATGCCAAGTTGTGCTTTTCTTTTCTTCCTGTTGGCCTCACTGGCTACCGCCTCCTGGCCCTGGCCCTACTAGCCTCTGGAGCATAGACACAGGTCCACCTCTTGATGGGCAGCATAAGGATTTTTTTGTTTCCTGAGCCTCTTGTGCCTTATTACAGTACACGACCTATGCAACCAAACACAGCAGTCCCCCCTTAGACACACTGAGCCCTGAATGATTTTGTCACTCGGGAGTGGAAAGAACATGGGCTCTGATGGCAGAAGGCGTGGGCCAGCTGCGTGAATGGGAAGAATGACTTGGTCTAAAAGGATGGGGTGATTCTCACCTTGGGAGAGGGACAGCATCCTGAGGACTAATGGGGACCATCATGTGCTGCGCTGGTCTCCCATTCAGACCGATGCCCCTCCTTTACCTGAGGTCCCAGAGCCACAACCCAAGTCTGTGCATTTTTCTATGAAATGCATTTTTTTTTTTTTTTTTTTTTTTTTTTTTTTTTTTTTTTTTTTTTTTGTGGAATCAGGGATTGAACTCAGGCCCTTGCACTTGCCAAGCAAGCACTTATTCTATTGAGCTATCTCCCCAGCCCCTTAAAATGCATTTGGATGCTTTTCCTTGCCCATCAGCAGCCTGGCTCCTAGTTTGTGCCCACGCTTTCAACTCTTGCCCTTCCAAGAGTCCAGACGCCACAACAGGATGCTTTTAAAATCTAAATGTGGTCATGTCACTCCCACCCCCTGCCTGCTCCAGCCTGCTGGGCGTGCTCTCGCTCATCCTGGGCTCAGACCAAGTATTCACACTCAGAGAATCTCTTAAATACCTCAGTGCGACAACCCCACCTGCCCCAGGAAGGTAAATGGCCCAAAGACCCTATGGGAGTCCACCTTGAGCCCAACAGTCTGGGTTGGAGATCTGCCTCCGTACAGGATTCAGAAAACATAGAGAAGCTCTAACTGCACCCAAGGACAGCCTCTGTCCACCAAGGGCTGGGCAGGAGGAAACCCTTACCCTAGAGCCTTCTGGGACAAACGCTGCGCAGGAGACTCGCTCAATGGCGACACCGTGTGGCATTGTTAGGAGCAACCTTCCCATCTTCAACAGCGACACCCTGTGGCAGTGAGAACAACAACAGTCCAGTAGGCAGCTCTGCCTACACCAGTGCTTTAGATCCAGAGACCCCCAAGCAACTTGCGCTTCTCCTTGGGAGAAGAGGCAAGCTCTTGATCACAGAAACAAAAAGAGGTGACTGTGGTTGTACTGCTCATGGGCACTGAGACCAGGCTGGTTACAGCCACAGAAGGAAGGAAAAGATATAAAATAAGAAAAAATACACACGAACAGAATCTACAAGGACTTTTTTTTTTTTTTTTTTTTTAAAGGAAGCTCAAAGAGAAATACCATGATCACAATTGAAATGCAACTCCTGGAGGACGTGTTGTGGAATCCAGCTTTGAAAGCAACACAGAATTCCTGAAATTAATTTTTCTAGTGAACAAAGTCCTGGTTGTTCAGATCATTTCCAGATCTGAGTTCAGAGAAGTTTGCAAGGTCTATAGATGATTCTCTGAAGAAAGGGAGCCTCTGTCATGGCCCATCAGGAACAGGTGCCAGGGTCCCCACCCCAGGTGTAGCGCCAGCAATCTCAGCCACAGCGAACGTCTGCTCCAAGCAGCAGGAAATCCTAGAGAGAGATGGAGTGTGTCATTAGTTGAGGTGCGCCCTTATTTGGGGAGGGACTTGGCTCTGCCACCCCCAGAACTGGGAATTGAACCCAGGGCTTTCATCCTGAGCTACCTCTCCAGCCCTTATCATTTTTTTATTTTGAGATAGTATCTTTCTAAGTCAATAAATTGCCTAGGTTGGAGTCAAGGTCAGACTCCTAGTGTGTCCAGGTTTTTAAAGAAGGAAACTTTGAGGGCCAGCCTAATAGCTCAGTGGATTAAAACACCTGCAAGTAGGCTCAGGGGCTGGGGGTTCGATCCCCTAGGCCTGCTGTGCCAGCCCCCCCCCCAGGGTGCACTGAGACACAATTGAGCCTGGGCGTGTTGGCACATGCCTGTAATCCCAGTTCTTGGGAGGCTGTAAACAGGTGGATCACTACTAGTGCAATGTAGTAGTGAGACCCTGAACACCCTGTAGACCCTTCCCTAAAAATACAAAAAAAAAAAAAAAAGAAGGAAACTTTGGGAGGCTGCCTAGCAAGAGAAGAGAGCAGCATGGGGCCTGTGGGCTTCAAGAAAGGCAGGGGCTTGTGGGGATATGGCACAGACTTCAGCCGGTGAGTCCACACGTCATTGGCCGCTCATACTCAGGCGTCTGTCAGCAGCTTTTTCTTTCTTGTTCTTTTTTCTTGGACAGCTGTTCCCTTCTCTGAAATGATGTGCAGCCCCTCGGCCCCAGCCTCCCGCCCCGCTGTGGTGGAGACTTCATCCATCATCCTGCCTCACAACAGCTCAAGGAAATCCCGTTCCAAGCAAGGCTGCAAAACACTTCCCTTTGCCCTCTGTGTCCCCCACTCAGAAGCATCAGAAGTGGGGAAATGGGATTGCGCCGCAGGGCCCAAGCCAAGCCTGGTGAAGACGGAGCGGCAGGCTGTTTACTGTGTTCTCTCGGCCCTTTTCTTCCTCTCTCCCAGGCCCCTCAGCAAAGTGGCCCAAGGAACTGACTGGTGTTGGGGACCAGGGGAGTGAGGAACTGGGGTGATGCGGGTTTGCATGAGAGACACAAGTTGTCAGGAAAGCTGGGGACCCAGGTAAGGGACATAGCCTGGGTGGTAGTTTATTGCCAGAGTGAAGGCTTTGTGGGATGCACTGGGTTGAAGGGCCAGTGACTGCAGAGGCTTAGATTCAGGAAGCCGGAGGTGGCACCAAGGTAACACCACGGTGGGGCCTGGGGAGCTGATGAGCTACTGGAGAAGCTTGGACAGAGCACAGAGGGGAAGAGATGAGGCCTGGGAAGGAGGCCTGATATCTCCAGCAAGTAAGGAGGGGACAGGAGAGCTCCCGGGGGAAGCCACGGAAACTCCAGAAGAAGGAGGCCCCATTTAGTGTCAGATGCTGGAGGGCAGGCGGGGCAGGGCCAGAGCAGCTCCAGCCCCGTGTGTGAATCTGCACGACACTGACTGCTCACCCCGGGTGCCCAGCATGAGGGTGGGTAAAGGGAGGTGTGTTGTGTGTCTGGTTCCTCAGCAGGTTTGTGTTTGCCGAGTGGTGCATGGGAGGGGGGCAGATGGTCAGTGCGGGAAGCCCAGCCTGGAGTGTGGACTCAGCTTTCAGAGCCCTGCTGTCCCTGTTCACCCATAGCACCGCAGCCTGGGGTTGCTGGGAGGGTAGAAGGTGCCTGACACAGAGCTGGCCACAGAGAAAGTGCTGCCACATGGGTAGGCACTGTAGGGGACATGTAGTGACAGGGAGCTTGGGACTCACCTGGTAGGAGCGAAACACCAGGTTGCTGAGCTGGACCCCGTTGGGCACTGGGAGGGGAAAACCCCTCTGCAGCCTCTCTGTGGCAGAGACAGGCAGTGAGAAGAGGGCAGGAGAAGGGCCAAGGATGCAGAGAGCCTGGGTGGGCGGGGCTGGGCCCTCAGGCAGGCTTGATGGGGCATGTACGCTCCAGAGGAAGGTGGCCCTGGGGCCTGTGCCCTGGCCCTATGTCCCCATACCCACTTCCAGGATCCACGGGGGCCCCTTCCCATGACTGCCCTCCAGAGAGCGTGGCTTCATAGGCCGTGGATCAGACAGAAGTCTGCAGGTGTGCACAAAACCCCTCCACACAAGTGGCAGTGGCCAGTGGCCAGGTCCCCCAAGTCCCTACACTGTGATGTGGGACTCTGGAGAATCCTCAGTCCTATCTCCCAGCTCATTATGAAGCCACATGTGCCACAGCAGGAGACTAGTTCACAGTCCACATAAGAACTTGCTGGTTTATTTAATAATTTCTAAATGTCACACGTCTAGATGTCAACACCTCTGTTGGTCCCCTGGTGCTCACAGGTTAGGGGCAGCCCTTCTTGAGGCCCCACCAGTGTGGTTACTGAGCAGTCAGAAGAAAGTACCCACCCTGGACCTGCTCTAGGAGTTGGAAAAGACCCCAGAGCCAGGATCAGATCCCAGCTTCACCAGCCACCTGCTCTGTGACGAAAGTAAGTCACTTGACCGTTTTGACCTTTCATTTCCTCCCATGAAAATTAGAGATACTCATAATCCCCTATCTTGTGGAATTATTGTAAGGACTGCCTGAAATAATGGGTGGACACCATCCAGGTGAGTACCCTCTCTGTCCTATCCCCTTGCTAAGTCGGATGCCACGTGAGGTTTGACTGAGGCAGGCCCTGGGTACCTGGAGGCCATCACCCCATCCCCTGACCTCTCTGCTAAAAATCGTGCAATTCCCAGAGCTCCTTACTGTTGATCTTGGGCAGCACCACTGAGGGCAAGATGTAGTTCATGATACTCTGCAACAGCTCCACCTGGAGGGCAGGAAGGGAACAGAGCCATCAGGGCACTGTGGCACCAGCTTGTGTGGCACCCTCCCGTGGCACCCTCCCTTGCATTTGCACCCTCAGCAACCTCCCAGGTGGAAGAACAGGTGGAGGTGAACCAGGTGGTGATGGACAGTCAGCGGCCTGGCCAAGGCTGTCAGGCAGTCTCTGCTGTTCAAGTTCAAGGCTCGGCTACATGAGAGTTATCCTCCACAGCAATGCCGGGAAGGTCATCAGAAAGTGTTTAAATCTGGAAATGCTTTTTAAAAAAATGTAGGGGTCTGGGGAGATAACTCAGCAGTCTAAGCACCTGGCTGGCAAGTGCAAGGACCGGATCCCCAGCACCACATGCCATGCTGGCCACCAAAACCAAGCATGGTGGTGCATGCCTGTAATCCCAGCAATGGGGAGGCTGAGACAGGAGGGTCACTATGAGTTCAGGCTGCCTAGTGAGACCCTGTATCAAATAATTAATTAACTAATTAATTAATTTAAAAAACCCTGCACCCTCGCAGCACTTACGGGTGCAATCAACCTGTTTTAAGGAAGTTAGAGTACATGCATCAAAAGCCTTAAAATGTGTGTCGTTTGGGCCCCCGAACATGGCTCTGAATATTGTATGATAGAAATGATGTGGGGTGGAGGCAATCTGAGACTTTTGGAGGCTACTTGCCCAAATTATCGCTTTAATCCAAACAATGAACTAAGAACAACCATTGTGTCCAACCACAGAGGACTCATTGAGGGGAATAGTGGAACTTTGACACCGGGAGGTAATATGCAACTGTTAAGCATGCTATCGTAAGTGAGGCATGGTGGCACATTCCTGTGATCCCAACACTTGGGAGGCTGAGGCAGGAGGACTGCCTTAGGTTCAAGGCCACCCTGGACTATATAAGGGAGTTCAGGGCCAGCATGTACTACATAGTGTGACCTTCTCCCTCTCAAAAAAAATAATACTGTAGAAATATAATCATCAATAAGAGATAGGCTTGATATATGTTTGAATGAGGAAAAGTAGGCTGTTGAAATCACATAATTCTATTTCTACAATTAAATAGGAATAGCAAAAGGTCAGGGAGGCTATATTCCAAATTATGAACTAAGTTGTGAAAATACGAATTTTTTAAAAAATTTTTCTTTGTTTGGCAAATCTGTAGTTCTTTGTGCTGTCTGGTACATATGCTTTGTTTTGGCAACAGTAATTTTTTAAAAAAATAATGTGGAACCATGAAGATGATTGCCTGGAGCAGTGACATTTACAACTTGTAAATATGTATGTTATGTTTCTGGAACAATTGAGTTTCCTTCCCTAGGCTAACACTCCAAGCACTCGCTACCTCCCCTGAATCCTGGGAGGTGCTGTTGCTTATTTTCTGCAGAAGCGGAAGTTAGCTACTGGCTTAGCCAAGGCCCCGAGGAAGCCAATGACAACCTTGTGAGGTGGTTTCCAGCCTTCAGTGTGCTGTGGTCTCCAGATGGAGCGGGGTGGGCTGCATTCTTATCTGACTTGGAGGGGAGGGTGGGTAGCCTGACTCCACTCTGGGTGAGCTCAGCTCACTCACTTGGGGAAGCTGGGGGTACCTCAGGGATCTAGGGAGATGCCCTCCAGGGCAGCAGAGAGCAAGGTTCAGCCAGGGCCCACAGAGAGTCAGGTACGTCAGCCAAGACTGGCAGGTCAGCGCGTTGGGTGTAAGTCACAGGGCTGGTGCTCTAAGAGCACTGGAGAGGTCTACTAGGCTGCTGCTGGCTGGCAGTGCCTGGGCAGCTCTGAGGAAGGCCAGGGATTCCCAGGACAGGGAGGGGACACCTGCTCCTGTCCCTCCACCTGCTTTTCCTCGCCTTGGGGTGTGGCTCTGCTGTTCACCCAGCTGCTCAGTCCGAAGGCTCAATGACATCCCTGCTGTTGTCTGTCTTTGCCAGGCAGGCAGGGACTCCTCACTGCCATATCGCATGCTCCCCAGGCCTGACTCTTGAGCTTACCGTCCAGTCCTCACCTCTATGGGACCTTTTACAAAGGTACAAGTTGGAGCATGTTGCTTCTTGCAGATACGGGAATGCAGTCCAGAACACACCACCAAGCCAGCCCTGGCCTGGCCAGCCTCATCCCTTTCTGGGCCCCCTCCACTCCATTTCAGTCACTGTGGCAGCTTCTGTTCCCCAAACAAGTCAAGCATATTCCAGCACAGGGCTTTTGCCTCTGGGGTCCCTGCGCAGGGCTCCTCCTCGCCTGGCAACCCACATACCACCTCACTTCACACTTTCTTCCCCCTCACCTTCTGCCATTCCTTGGATCATGACGGGCTCGCTGTTCATGTCCTACCATTCTGTCTCCCCACTACTCAAGCCCAGCATCACCCACGCCTGGAACAATCCAGCATGAAATACTTGCTCAATAGTCATTCACTTGTTAATTCAACAAACATTGGCTAAACAGACCTTTTGTACTAGACCTTGTGTGTATCTAGCCTTGTCACAAAGCCTCACCACACTGACCCAACTGGGAAGCCTGAAGTTCAGAGACAACAAGCGACCCATCCAAGGACTCACCATCAGTGAGCGTGGAACAAGGGCTCCCAGCTCCCATCTCTCTGCCCATAAAGCTCCTCCCACAACTAATTCACAAACAAATCACATGCAAATGAACCAGTGGTGCTGAATGATGCCAAGTGCCTGTGACAGGTCCTCCAGGGTCAGGGCAAGGACGAAGCCACCAAGGGCCTCAGACTCACCGGGAAGGTGCCGATGTTCGAGTGTATCAGTTTCAGGTGCAGTCTGTGGTAAGAAAAATGCAGCTGAGTCCGCAGTAGCCTGGCCAGTACCAGCACCCAAGGCCTGGCCTCCCCTGGTGCCCCCCACATTTTTTCCACCAGACACCTGGTGTCTGGTGAGCCCATGCGGGGCTCTGTGTGCAGTCCACCCCCATTGGTCACTCTTCAGGCCTGGACTGTGACCCTTGCTGCCAGCAAGAGCAGCTCTGTGACCTATGTTGGAAATACTGGGGCTCAGTGGCCCTCAGGTTCTTCAGGAAAATAAGAGGCCACCTCTTGGTGACAGCCTCTTGGGGGCTGAAGCCAGCACAGACAACAGCAGAGCCCAGGTGGAGTCAGACCCTAAGGGTGTCATCTAGCACCTGGGCCACTCTTGCCTAAAGGCTTCGGACTTTTCAGTCACCTGAGCCCCCCCCTCGGGGGGGCCTGGATGGCATTTTATTTTATTTTTTTATTTTTTTGGCAGAACCGGGGATTGAACTTAGGCCCTTGCACTCGCCAGGGAAGCGCCGGCCCCTGGATGGCATTTTAGCAGTGATGTCAGAGAGAGCTGAGTGTTTCACCCTTCTGGTTTCCTACAACACGCCAAGAGGCAAAGACCGGCTGCTCTTCTGTTTACAGAAGAGGAAAATGACACTCAGAGAGGTTGAGTGACCTGCCCAAGGCACACAGCTAACAATTAGCTTGGCAGGATTTCACACAGATCTCCTGGACATTAGAGCCCCGTTGTCTCCAGTCGCGCTTAGTGTTTGCCAAGGGTCGGTGGCCCAAAGGTCCGGGTGCCCATTCACGCCCTGCAGTCCTGGACCCTGCCCTCCTCCCCTGCCCACTTCAGAGTCTGTGTGCAGCCATCACCCACTAGGTCCCTCTCTGGCTTCTCCATTTGAGGCCTGCGGACGTTTCAAGGCAAATTAAGCCCACATATTTCTGGAGCAGTAACACTTGTCACAATGATGCCAGGAGAAAGGAGCAGCATGTAAACCGCAGGGGCTGATCTCAAGGTTAAGAAGGACAGCTCAGGGCCGGAGAGAAGGTGGACGCGGTCAGGATGCGGGTCACACAGCCGTGTGGGATGGAGAGGCAGGCGCCAGGTCGGAACGCTGGGGCGCTCACCTCGCTCTCCATCTCTCCCCACCTCGCTCCTTCTGTGTCTGACTCCCTGCTAACATGTCCCTCCATCTGTCTCAGTCGCTCTTGCTCTTTCTGTTTCTCTGCTCTCTCCCCACCACAGCTCTCTATTCCTCTCTCAGAGGGTCTCCCTCTTTCTATGTCTCTATTTCTCTTTCTCTATGTGTTCCTCATTCCTTTCTGGTGTTTGTTTGTTGAGTCAGAGTCTGACTATGTAGTCCAGGCTGGCCTTGAACTCATGGCCACCGTCCTGCCTCAGCCTCCCAAGTGCTGGGGTTACAGGGTACACCACCACTGGCTTCTTCTTTTTCTTTTAAAAATGTATTTGGTACAGGGTCTCACAATGCAGTTTGGACTCATAGTGACCCGCCTGCTTTCAGCCTTACCAGCGCCGGGATTACAGATGCATGTCATCTCGGTGGCTGGCTCAGTATGCCCAGAGGCAGGGCCAGAGCTGAATGTGGTGCTGTGGATCGAACCCCAGTCCCTGCGCTTGCCTAGACAGGCACTTAGTCTGCTGAGCTATCTCATTGGCCCTTCCTCTGGTTTTCTGAATGCTTGTTGCAGCCTGTGCAGGGTTCCAAGCATTCAGCACATATTAAGATCCTTTACTCCCCCCAGTGATACTGTTGATGGAGAATACTTAGTGGGCTCATTTCCTAGCTGGGGACACTGAGGTTTGGAGTTTGTCACTTGCTTTTTCAAATGCTGGCAGCTTCCTGTCAGAGCCCACCCTCTGGGGCACACCCTTCAATGCTGGGATTCAAAACCGGGTCTCAAAAAACCCTGGCAAGGACAGGGCCTGACGTCCTGGAGTGGGCAGGAGGGAGAAGCCAACATAGGGTTTCCTAATGCCAGCAAAGCCCAGGGACACTAGTCCTGGGTGCTGCTGTGCTCAGTGTGGATGGGCCCTCATCTGGCCTTTATCCCCCATGAGTCCACCTGGGATGGGCAGGTGTCCCAGGACACAGGACTTTCAGTGCTAATGCTAGGACACTCCTGAGCAGGCTGCGACAGCAGGTCACAAGGCCACGTGTGATCTTGGGCAGCCCACTTCATCTCTGAGCCTTGCTTTCATAGTCTGCAAACCGAGGCTGAAAAATGACAGGAGAACAGCAACCAGGGCACGGTGTGTGCTGCAAGGAAAGGCTCTGGCTCCTCTGTGGCCTCCAGGAGCACATGGGCAGTCCCGCTTCTGTCCCCATGGGCCACTTACGTGTCCATCATGAACTCTCCCGTGAGTCTGTCAGCGTTGGCACCGACTTCCATGTGTGCAGTTATGTTCTGCAAAGTGACAACCTGGGTGACCTTCCCGGCCAGGTGACAGGCCTGGCCAGCCTCTCAAGGCCAGCTAGGGTGGCCCACAGTGCCCCAGGAGCATGGAGACTTTGCTCTGGCTACTGGGGAGTCCTGAGTGGTCACCAGGTCGCTGAGCCACTCAGGGAGGGTAGTGTGGGACAGATCCAAGGACTCAGTCTGAATCAGACCCTCCCTCTGCACTCACTCAATGAATGATCTGTTCAGAAAATGCTCACTGTGGGAGAAATGAGGGCACTCACTTTAGTTTCCAACAGTCTGTGACTTTAAGTGGCCCACTCGACCCATTTGGTCTGTAAAGTGGGGATAACAGGTTGCCACTTGAAATTGGGCCTCTGAGTGCTCCCCATGGGGACAGGGTAGGACTCGCTCCCCCAGGCCACTGTAGGTGCCACCAAATGCCCGGTAGTGATGGGGTGATCAAATGAATGAATGGGTAAATCAACAATGGAATGAGAACTTGAATAAATGAAGGATTAAGCAAATCCACAAATGGAAGAATAAATAAAGATATGCATAGATGAATAAGTAATGAGTGAATAAATGAATAAATGAGCAAAAACACAAATGAAGGGCCAACAGAACAAGCACACAAGTAAATGAATCCATGAATAATTGAGTAGCTGAATGCATGTAAGCTCTCGAAAAGGTATCGCATATTTCCAGCCAGCAATTTAATGAATAATTGAATGAATTAATAAATCAGATGAATAAATGAACTAGTGAAGAAATGTGTAAATGCATAACAGACTGATCAAAGATCTGAGTGAATGAACTGGAAACAGTACACAGATTTCAAGCCAAAGAAGGAATGAATAAGGAAGGGAATGAAAAAGTGAGAGAATGAATAATTGCATTACAAATAAACAGATACCCAGCAATGACTGTGTGCCTGTGGGAGTTTGGTGGCTTTGGTTTCTGACTCTGAGTCCCCCAACTCCAAGGACAGTGTCCCCCCCAGCCCACACCCAGGAGCAGTTTACCATGCCGAGCAGGAAGAGGGACGCCAGGGAGGAGTTGGGGTGGACAGCAAAGGCCTGGGCCTCCAGGGTAGAGGCCAGGGTAAGGCCGGTGGGCTGCATGACCAGGTGCGGTGGAGAGGAGGCTGAGAGGACAAGCTTCACATCCATGTTGGGAAACTTCTGGGACACCTACACAGCCAGGGGGACAGCCAACAGAAGCAGTTGCTTTATTTCAAATCCTGTCTCTGCCCTCCCTGAGAGAGACACCTCCGGTATCATCCCAGGGCTCTGAGAATAAATCGAAATGGCTTTATGGCCTCGTATCTGGGGCCCTGCTGACCTCATTCCGTTCACCTCTAGCGTCCAACCTCTATCTCTGCGTGCCAGGGCTTGGCCTGCTCCTCAAATGGGACAACCTCTCTTGTCATCTGAAACCCTCTGCTTTTTCTGTTCCTTCTGACTGAACGCTTGTCCCTCCACTCTTCCTTAGCATGTTTACCCTTCCTTGAAGTCTGAGCTCAGATTTCCCCTCTTGAGCAGTAGTGGCTTCACGGGGATCTTAGGAGGGGTTGGTGGCCTCCCTCCTCTCTCCCAGCCTTTCATCCTCCCCAGGTAAACCCAGCCTGGGTGAAATAATGTGACTCCAATACAAGTGCTGCCCCCACCCAGCCCAGGCCAGGCCCTCCCTCTATGGACATTTTCTACAGCTGCCACCATCAGAGAAAGTTAGAAGTGGAATGTTGGCGTCCCCTCCCCCTTTAAATGCATACATTAAAGTCCTAGGCTGCAATGTGGTTGCATTTGGACGTAGGGCCTCCGAGGGAGTGAAGCTAAATGAAGTTTTGGGGATAGGGCCCTGAGCCAGCAGAATCAGCATCCTTGTATAAAAGAGGCTAGAGCGCTCTCTCTGCCACCCCTGCACTGAACAAAGGCCACGTGAGGACCCAACAAGGAGGTGGCCACCTACAATGCCAGAAGATAGCCCTTTTCAGAACCCCAATCTTGGTCTTCCAGTCTCCAGAACTAAGAGGAGTAAATGGCTGCTGTTTCAGCCACACAACTGAGTGGACCATGGTGGAGGCCTGCCCTGTGCCCCTTGTCTAAAGCAATGGTTACCCATCTGTTGGTGTCACTTGTCACAGGGAAGATTGCTTGTCATTGTCTCATGTACCTGAGGCAGGCATATGGTCTTCTTTGCCAGGTCCCCAGCACAGGGTGCCAGACATACAGTGGACATGCGTGGAACGGACGAGCCCCTGCTGGCCTCCTTCACCCTCAGTCATTCCAGCACCCCTGGTTTCCCCTTCCCCTTGACACAGCCTTGTCCTCCCCAGAGCTCAAGCAGAAGGAAGGAGTGAAAACTGGTTCCCACCTGGGGTAGGAATTCTCCTAGGAAATTGGTGGTCAACTGGAATTTGGATCCCTTTGGCAGCTGTAGAAAGAGAAGATAAAAGGGTCTCGTAGGTCAGGAGGTGGAGGCAAATGCTACTTGGGGTGAGAGATTAAATGTGTCACTGATGATGGCGTGACTGTACATGACAACAGTCCACAACCGTTCATCCTCTGCGACCCTACACTGGGAGGAGTGGGTGTGGCCAACGAAGCCTGCCCTGGTCTCATCTGCTACTCACCAATCACAAGACACCTGGCTTAGTTCACCCGCCTCCATGCCCACATCTTCCAATCAGGGCCGCTCCAGGCCTCCTCTTTCTCACCAGGAGTCCCAGCCCATGTCTGAATGCTGAGACACATACTGGATGGCTTGAGTTCCCTGTCTGAACAGGCGGTCTCTGTAGGCACATCCAGTGGCCCACACAGAGGAGAATCTCGGATTCACCTCTACACAAGGTGATGGCTGGGCTGGGATATGGTTGTACCTAGATTCTGCAGAGGAAGTTCGTTTCTTCATGGTACAGATGGGTGAACTAAGGCCCATGAACATGTGATACACAGCAAGGCTGCCCCAGGGCATAGAGAGGCCAGGCTGGAGACAGGTTACAGCCTGACGCGTGAGCACATGCTCACACTGTGGCACAATGCCACAGCCCCTCGTGGGCGCTGCTACTGCTTTTCATCCTCCTGGCACGCTCTGGAGAAGGAAAGAGCAAACCGCGCTTCTCGAAGGCTGAGTAACAGGCTGGGGGGGGGGGTCACAAGCCTAGGAAGCGATGCCAGGACCAGCGTTCAAACTCAGGCCTGCCAGACCCTCAGCTCTGGCATCAGCGTCTCGGACAAAGCCTCAAATCTGCAAGGTCTGCTAGACCGCAAGTGCGGAGTTCTTCCCCAGGGTGTGTCCCTGGCCAGGCTTTACCGTGTTGTTCGTGAGGCTCCACTTCAAGACCCCAGCCCGCTGGTACACAAGCCCAGCTGTGTTGAAGAAGTAGTCGGACATGGCCAGGTAAACCATGCGGTCGTGGTCAGGAGGAATGGCTATCACTGGGGGCTCAAAGGGCGGAGGGCTGCGGCTGGCCTGACTGAAGAACTCCCCCTGGAGGGAAGGGAGGCGACAATGAGCCAGGAGAAGTCCTCTGGAATCATAATTCAACATCTCCACCCCCAGGAGAAGGCAGTCACGGACACCCATCCGACCGAAACACTGATAACCATGGACTGACAATGGCGTGGGCTGGCCGTCCAGGGGGCATTGCCAGCCGTGCTTTCTTGCCTAACCCTCCCTGTACAGGAGGCTACGCTGGGCACAGGGACATGAAGCAACCTGCGTGAGTGACCCAGTTGCTCAGTGGCAGAGCCAGGCCCTGAACCCAGGCATGTAGAGTCCAGGGCACACTCCTGGCCACACACCGTTGGCCCAGCCTGCTCCTGGCTGACAAAGAGAAGCCTGACTCCTCGTGCTGTTTCATCTGTCCAGGGAGCAGAGCGGAAAGGAGCTCAGCATTGAGTGTTGTGTGTGTGAGTATTTTGTAAGTGTTCAGAGGCTGTGTGTGAGTATATGCATCATACTTCTTTTTAAAAATTATGTATTTATGTGTGTGTGTGTGTGTGGCCAGCTCAGCCCACCAGGGGGCGGGGCTGGCTGGCATGTGGTGCTGGGGGATGGAACCGCGGTCCCTGTGCTTTGCTGAGCTTGTTCTAAATAGGTGCTTTAGATCACTGAGCCATCTCACCAGCCCTGCATCATATTTCTAATGGCAGTCTGACAACATGCCAAAAAATAGTGTTATGCTTGTAAAGCAAATCCATGTGATAGGATACTGCATATGTAAAGTTTTTTTTGATTTTTTGGTTTTTTTTTTGGTTCCTTGAATGCCTTCAGGGCACTTTTGGCCAGCGGGAGAGGTGTGAGGTTTGAACTCCAGCAACCTGAGGCTGACAGCTTTGTGGAAGCAGCCACTTAAAGGCCTGAGCTAGGGCCAGGCCCCCATGTAAAGTTAAAAGGACAGTAAAAGTATAAAGTCATGAACAAGAAGGACGCATGGTAACCCCAGCATGGTAATTCCAGAAGAGGCTGAGACAGATAGACAGATCCTAAGGACAGGCCTAAATTGGGCAACTTTTTGTCTCGTGTTTCCAAGGCACATTCTCATTATGTAACTCAGGCTGGCCTCAGGCTCACTGCGATCCACCTGCTGCCTCAGCCTCCTGAGTCCTGGGACTACAGGCATGTGTCACTGTGCCCTGTCTCTAAATAAAAAAGGGCTGAGATGTAGCTCTCATAAGAGCTGAGTTCAATCCCCAATGCAAGAAGAAGGGAGAGGCAAGAAGAGGGAGGGGAGGAGATGTGCGTTGGTGGGCATGGGTACCTGGTGAGGAGCAGGAAGCTAAGTGGGTGGGTGGCTAGGAGTTATTTTATCACAGTGTTTTACTTTTAAAGAAATCAGAAGCGAATATGACAAAATGGTAATATTTCTTGAGTCTGGGGAGTGGAAACCTGGGTGTGTAACGTTCCCTGTACCTCTGAGTCAGCATTATTTGAAATTAACAACCCATGCTACGGAATACAATGCACCTCTTAAAAATAATAAGAGGGACCTAATTCCTGGTCTGAACCTCTCTTCAGTGCATGTCATTAGTGCGTATTAAGCAGAAGGATAGTGACCATCCATCCGTGCAAACAGATCCTCAGCAAAATCTAGATGGGTTTCCACCTGTGTAGAGGTGAATGCTCAGAACCTGGGACCTGTGCAGAGACTGGAAGGGAGCAGGACAGAGCCGTGTGGACGTCTGCGTCGGGGAGGAGCCCTAGCCGGAGAGACGCAGGGAGGCTCAGAAATGGCGGGGAAGCCAGGGTGGCTGCAGGTGGGCAGGCAGGGCCCGGGGTGAGGCAGAGAAGAGGCTGAGGCCCTGCGAGGTTGGTTTTGGAGGCCAATGAGGAGCCCTGGGGCAGAGGCGTGATCCTCACCTTCAGTGGCAAGTCCAGGCTGTTGGCTGTGACTATGGGAGAAGCCACCAGACTGTAGTTGATCGCAGACACCTTGTCTATTTTGGATGTTACTAGAGACAAAGAAGATGGCGAATGAGAGGGCTTCCATGACCTCAGCCCTAAGTGGGCTGAGCCTGCAGTTCTGGCTCCCTCCCCAACCCTCCTGCCCCTTCTCTCCTCTATCCTCACTCAACCTGACCTGGAACAGTGTTGATGTACTGCTGCAAGTCATTGGCCACAGAATTGCTCAGTATCTTGCAGATCTGGAGAGAAGCAAAGATGTGATCAGCAAGGGCTTCCCGGAGTGGGGTGTGGGCTTTAGGCAGAAGTCCAGGCATGCTGTCTTGGTTGGTTTTCTGTTGCTGCAGCACAGTTCCTGAGACCAAGTGATTTATAAAGAGCAGAGATTCATAGGGATGCAGTTCTGGAGGCTGGGATGCCCAAGGGCATGGTGCCCACATCTGCCTGGCATCTAGAGAGGCTGTGCTGCATCATAACAAGAGGTACCTTCTTGCATGTCCCCTGATGGCAAGGGACATCACTTGGGGGGCTAGCAAGAATCCTAGCTAGGGTCTCTGCCTCTCCTTAGAAAGCCACTAACATCATCATTTAACCTTAATCTGGTCCCAAAGGGCCCACATCTGAATATCATTAACATATGAATTTGGGGTTCAGTTTCCAACACATGAATTTCTGGGTGGGGGGACACATTCAAAGAGTAGCATAAGCTTTCCTTTCCTTGAATTTTTTTTAAAAAATCATATAGTTAATCAAGTCTCCCCTTTTTTCCTTGGCCACCAGCCAGCTCAGAGTCCAACACGCTCTTGGAAAGAGAACCTGAATATGACCTATGACCTACGTATCTGCATTCTATTTCTTTCCTTAGTATGGAACTCCCCTGGTGGGTGTTTATGTTTTCTGTGCTATACTGTGAGGTTTTTGTTTTTAAATCAGATTTTGTTGTCTCAGATCCTTCATGGAATGAAGTAGTAAATAAAGTGAGGTAGTCAGTGGCCAGCTACCGTGTCACTGCTGTATACAGGCAGAATACCCTGGCACCCTTTCCATCTGTGCCTCCCAAAGGACAGACCCTGGTCACATCTGACTTTGCCACTGAAGAGGTCATCACTCCATGTCCCTAGACCTCAGTGTGCTTACCTGGAATGGAAGGAGCCCCTCCCTCTTTACCTGAAGTTTTGCTTTCTGTGGTTTCAGTTCCTATGACCAACTATAGCCCAAAAATATGAAATGGAGAATTCCAGAAAGAAATAATTTATAAGTTTCAAGTTGTGGCTGTTCTGAAAAGCGCGACAGAATCTCATGTCATCCACCTGAGATGTGAGCCAGTGCTTTGTCCTGTGGGTCCCTGCTGTGTACCTGACGGGCCCGTTAGTCTCTGAGCCATCTTGGATTCACATGTACCACTCTTGTATCACAGTGCTTGTGCTCAGATAACCTGTATTTGACTTAACGACCCCAGATCAAAAAAGCAGTAATGCTGGAGATTCTATTACAGTCTATTGCTATGACTGTTCTATTTTGTGACTAGAACAAAATATTGTTAATCACTTGTTGTGCCTAATTCATAAGTTAAATCTTATAATAGGAATGTCTGAATAGGAAAAAGCATGATTCTGTATAGAGAGGGTTCAGTACCACCCTCAATGTTGGGCACCCTTTTGGGGGGGGGGTCTTAGAGCGCTCCCTGGTGGACATAGAGGGTACTGCTGATTTTACACTATGTCCTCACCAGGAGGTGGAGCCTCCCTGAGATTTGGGCATGGCTACTTGCTTCTGACTAATAGAAAACAGTGCAAGGAGGCTTGACCTCACAGAGGTGAGGGCCTAAAAGGTTGTGCACCTTCACTTTCACTCAGGAAATGCTCCTTCTCTGGTCCCTCCCTCCGGGCACCCAGTCACATTCCATGAGCAGCCCAAGTCCTGTGGAGGGCCTGGGCAGCTGCTTAGGTCCATAGTCCCAGCTGAGCTGAGTCTTTAAGGCTTCTCAGTCCTCAGCCTTAGCCTCAGAGATCCAAGGTAGGGAGCCTCCTTACGCTGATCGCTGGAGTCTGTAGTTGAGACCCAGATGCCATGGGGTAGAGAGGGTCCAGGCTCTCTCTGCAGCCCCAGGTTCACCTCCTGACCTGAAGATTCCATGGGAGCTGAGAGCTGTGCTGGCCATGGGACACCTGGTCTGGGAAGCAGCTGGACAGCTGGACTCCAGGGCCCATCTGCAGCCCTGTCCGATGCAGCAAGCAGGGCTCTTATGCCTCCCCCTGCACGTCCAGCTGAGCATCTTCCATCGTGACCACCAGGGACTGCTGGGAGCCCTGGCACCACAGCCCTCTCTCCTTAGAAATGCTGTTGCTGCAGTCCTTCGAGCAAGAGCTCCCCTGCCTCCCAGCGCTGAGCCTGAGGATGTCTCACCCACATGGTCTGCCCTCTCTGGCCTCTCGTGAAATCCAGACAGGGATGCCCCCAGTGCTGAGCCTCAGGGTGCCCTAGCATTAGTCCACTCAGCGCTGCGCCTTCTTTGCTCCCCATAGGCTGCTGGAGCCCAAATCCTTGTCTCCCCCATCTCCCATCTGTGGCCCACACAAGGCCTTGGTTTGCAGCCCAGTGCTGACTATAGCCCAGGCCCAGCTGGAGGAGGGGATGATGGGAGGGAGGAAGGGAGAAGAAGAGGGGCAGTTGGGGACAAGACTGGGTGCTCCTGGAATGCTCTTCTGTCACCTGAGGCTCTGGAAGCTCCAAGAGGATCCAGTGTCCTTCTCTGAGGAGTCTGTGCCTCTTCTCCAAGAGGCCTGGGGTGAAAGGACAGCAGGGCCCGTGAATACTGGGGCTGTCCTTCTGGCACTGTCACCTGATGTTGCTCATCTGTCAGGCCCAAGGACGCCTCCAAACCACAGTGCATCCCCTCACCTGCTGCCTGCTGAGTGGGCTCCTTGTTGCCCCAACACATGGGCCATTCAGAGGCCCAGGCTGTCCCCTCAGTGGCCAGCACTCCCAGAATTTCATGATAGACACCCAGCTCTCCCTGCCCATTCCCAGGTCTGCTGCCATTACCACCTTGTTCATGCTTCTGCTCCAGTCAGGCTCCCCACAACTCTGTCCTGTGCCAGGAAAGACTCTTTGCCTCTGCGACCAGTGGCCTAGATCTGAGCCCAGCACCGTCACTTCCCCTTTCCATGGCTCAGTTTGCTCATCTGTGAAATGGGGGCAATCACATCTCCCTCATGGGGGATTCCATGTAGAACATAAAGCTTCAAGGCAGGAATCCAGAGAATCCTGAACACAGAACCAAGTGCATGGCAGCTCACAGCACATGAAGGACAGCCCCACCGACCTCACCATCCTCACCGACACGAGCACCTCCAGCAACAGCAGCAGCACTTTCAATCTTGGCCACTATTATATGCCACTACTGGTGGTGCCAAGGAAAGCCTGACGGTGTGAGGTATTCAACAGGCTTTCTCACCCCTCTTGGGCAGTTACTTGACTTTATAGAAGGGTGAGCTGTGGTGAGGCAGGCCAAGGGACAAACACATGGTATGCCCTGCCTTTTTATCCTTACAGTGGGCTCAGGTCCCTATTTTACAGATGGCAAAACTGAGATGCAGAAAGATCAGGTCATTTGGTCAGGGTCGCACAGCTGGCTGTGCAAGGGACTCTGAGCTTGGAGCCCCTTCTGTAATCCAGACTTAGATCTATTGACGCCCAAGGATTATTTCTCTAATTTAGAACCTTTGATACAGTCTTTTCTTTCCTTTTTTTTTTTTTTTTTTTTTCAGAACTGGGGATTGAACTCAGGCCCTTGCGCTTGCCAGGCAAATGCTTATTCTACTGAGCCATCTCCCCGGCCCCCGACACAGTGTTTTCATAGGGATGATCTCACTGTGTGGATGTCCTCCTGCCTGCATGTCAATAGCTTTGGTCAGGACCCCTCCCTCTCCCCCCCACTGCACCGGCCTCCTTGATGGTCCCCCCTGCCCTCTCCTGGCTTCTCCTGTCATCCAGCAATCAGAGAGTCTTCAACAGTATAAACCTATCCAGACTGCTCACGTGCCTGAAATCTTTAGTGGCTCCCCACTGCCCTCTAGAGAAAACCCAACCTCAGTGTCCTGCGAGACAGGCTCTGGAGGTTTCTTGCTAATGGAAAACCTGGCCAAGAGTAGCCTTTTCTCAGCAGAAGAGGCTGACCGGGGGTGGGGGGTGTGTGTGGTTCGGGTGTAGGGAAGTTGGAGAATGCCAGCACGAGTGGGTCCCTTGTCTGGTTCAAGGCAAAGCCATGCTTGGAGCTCTGTGTGTGGCTTGTGGTCTGGGTGTCAGCACCAGGTGGGGTGGTTACACTGTCCTCTTTGACGGGACAGGGAGCAGCAGCTCAGGAAGCACTGAGAGGGAAGCAGCCCCTCTGGGATCAGGAAGTGGCCCCTCCAGGCTCTCAGGGATTTCTCAGCAAAACACACGTGCCCAGCTTGAGGAACCAGATTTGTGGTTTCAGAGGGCTGCGGGGCTGCTAAGGGGGTCAGGGTCAAGAACAGCAGTGTCCCTAAGGCTGGAGGGAGATGGCTCCCGGAGTGCTTATGCTGCAGCCCCTGGGAAGACCCAGTCCCACTTACATTTTTGTTCAAGAGCTTTCGGAGCATAGAGTCAACTTTCTTGTGGAAGAGACGGAGCAGCCACCTGGAGGTTGACAGGCAAGGACATCTGTGAGGCTTCCAGGGTTACCTAGGCTGGATTCAGGAGGCCAGCTCCTCTGGGAAACCACCCTCCCTCCTCCTAAGAGGCCTTGGCACCCTTGCTCCCGGGCTCCAACCGTGTCCAGCCCATAATTATTTCCCTTGGTTTGTCAGTGAAGTTACCTTGCTGCATGGTCAGGTCCTGGCCAAGCCCAGTCTCCCTTGCCGCCTGCGCCTGCACTTGTCCCCACGCACCGCCCCACTGCCTGCCTTAGCCTCCGCCACCTGTGCTTCCTTCCCCCACAGTGCTTTTGCGCAGGCTGTGCCCTCTGCCTACACCACCCCGCCCCCAACAGCTACCTAATTAGCGCCTACTGATTTCTTTCATTTCCGTTCAAATGTCATTCAGGGAGGAAGAACTGGGCAGCTCTCAGACTGGACCTCATCTTCCTGCTCCATGTGTCCACAACCCTTTGCAGCTCTATTTCTTAGTTCTTCTCTCCTTTTGTAGCTACAGATACTCCATTCACTAACTCAGCCTTGGGAGGACTATCTGTCCTCCCTGCTGGGGTGAGGCTGACAGTCTGGGGCAGCGTCCTGGACTCCCACACTCGCAGCTACAGAAACAAGTTACCGCTCTCCTCTCCGTGCCTGAGTGTCTCCCTAAAAGCGATATAATGATAGACCCACTTCACCGAGTCCTTGTGGACTGCATTGGAGGTCAAAGGTGCTAATGTGCCCGGCACACAGGGAGCCTCCAGTCAAAGCCACTTAGGACCAAGTTTGCATTGGTGGCTGCTGGCCCTGAGTGATCTGTGCTGGCCTGGCACAGGAGCTTCCTGGCAGATGTGTAGAAGGTGGAAGACGTGGGCCCCACATGTGCAGTGAGGGTGGGGCCGTTTAGTGAAGACAGTACATGTTTGCAGGAGCGGGGCTGGTTGAATACACCGTGCCTGGGGAGGATTGATGCGGACGTTGGGTCTGGGGCCTGGGGCCAGCCTCCTCCACCTGCGGCCCTGGCCTGCCCTGGCGGACAGCACTCCTCTAGGCCCCTCCCCACAGCCACAGCCCAGGAGAACCTACCCCACGATCCCTCTGCTGCTCAGGTGGACCCTGTTGATGGAGCTGCTGCAACTGGAGCAGGCAACAGTGAAGCGGCCAGAGGGAGGGTCCCTGCCCAGCTTCAGATCCGCGGAGATGGAGACGCCTTCTACCCTCAGGACAAAGCTGCCCCTGAGTTTGCTGAAGGGAAACAAAGAGAAGTGAGGCAGAGAGAGCACTCCTGTCCCCACGCCGCACACACTTCACACCAGCACCAGCAGGCGTGCCTCTTGACATTGTCTCCACTGCAGATGGAGGCAGAGGCAGAGAGAAGACACAGCTTGCCCACGGTCACATAGCACAGATCCCTGGAGTCAGGACGCCAGTGTGAAGTCCAAACCCATGCCTGCCTGGCAGACTCTGTTCTCAACTCCCACCTCATGCACGGTCTGTCACATGGTGCCGGGCATGTTTCTTAACTTCTCTGAGCTTCCATTCCCTCAGATCCTAGTCCCGCAAGCAGACACCAGAATGAACGTGTCAGTGTACCACTAAAAATTTGAGTGTTTGAGGCCAATGACTTTAAACCATCAGTTAGTAAATGAGGTTAATAGCTCCTTTCTCAGGGAGGGAATAAGTTTTGGTAAGACTGAGGACACGTAGGTACTTCACTGACTCCTTCATAGGGTGATGAGGTCTTAGTAGTAGATTTTGATCAGTAAGTGAAATAATAGATACAGATGCGCCCAGGTTGTGCAGTTCTCACTGTGGGGAGCAAGCAGACTGACTCCTAGTTCTTGTAAGGCAGGCTGACCCGCCCCCTCTCTTCATCTAATAAGGCTTCTCTTGCATTTTCTCTCCTGCTTCCCCAAGCAGAAGATGTTTTCAAAGTGAGGTTCAATCTGAGTCACCATTATTGCTGGGCAGGGTCTTTGTGGGGATGCCCCAATATTGAGATTCAGAACGGCAGCTTGCACAATCTGCCCCAATTCATCATGCCGCCCGCACCACGCACTTGCCACTTCCTATCATGGGGCAAGGGTGTATTTCTTTGCTCTTGCCTGGCGTTGGTCATGTGACGTGACCTGACTGGTGCTATGTGAGTAGAAGTGACCGTGGGCCTTTTCTGAGACAAGGCCTGAAGAGGATCTGCATGTTCCTGCTGCCCTTTTTTGTACCTTTGCTGTCACCTATGCTCTGGCTAACCTATGGGTCCATGGAGGAGGAGTGGAACTTCTCCAGCTAGGCACACCCTAGATCAGCAGAACCCTAGCTGACACAAGAAACAGAAGATGATAATATGGTTGTTGTTTAAACCACTGAGATTGGGGAGTCTCCTTACAGTTAGTTGACAAAGAGAATCAGTGAAAGGTCCTGCTCAGGCCCAGTTTTCGCTTCTAAGCCACATGCTCCAACTCAACCTTGCCATGTCCTATACTGGGATGTGGACCAAGGCTTACCCGGACTTTTTTTTTTTTTTTTCCTGTAATTAGGACAGAGTCTACAGGGTCTACAGGTCTCACTACATAGATACACTGGTAGTGATCCTCCTGGTTCAGCCTCCCAAGTGCTGGGATTACAGGTGTGTGCCACTACGCCCAGTCTCAATTGCTGTCTCAGTGCACCCTGGGGTCAGGGCCGGGGCCAGCACAGCAAGCTGGGGATCAAACCCCAGCTGCTACACTCTGCCTAAGCAAGTGCTTTAGTCTGCTGAGCTATTAGGCTGGCCCTTATACTGACTCTTAAGTGACAAATTCCTTCACAAAACCTCTGGTGACAAGAGGTGATGGGCAAGGCAAAAGGTGAACATTCCTCACACCCCGACTCTGACCCCTTCCAAACAGCATGAGTTCACCCCCCAAATCCCAGGCATGCAGACGCACAGGAATTTCTTTCTGGCTTTCCATTTTCCATTGATAGTGACATGGGCATTGCCGATAGAGAGTTGAAGACCCACGTTGGGCTGCAGTCTTATCTGGGAACTGGGAAGCTGGAAATTGAGGACATTCATGCTGTAAAAGAGAAAAGTTTGATCAGCTTCCTGGGTGTCTGCACCAGGCCTTGGTTCAACCTCTTACTACATTCACTCCACGAAGAGCCAGTGACTACAGGGTTCCTAAGGGCCGGAGTGCATCTGCCCTGCTTCACTGTTGTAGCCCAGAGGCCACTGTGTCAGACACAGAGTAAGTGTTCAGAATGTCTGTGGAATGAAAGGGGGCTTTCTGTCCAGTGTCTACAGCCCCTTCTTATGACAACAGACCTGCCATTCTACTTTGGGGAAACTGTTGCTCCTGTTTTGTCAAACGCTACTCTGAAGAAAGTTGGCCATCTTTAGGGATGGAACTTGTAATTCTTTTTTTTTTTTGTACCAGAATCAAACTCAGGACCAGGCAGGTGCCGTGCCACTGATCTATATCCCCGGCCCTGTGGCTCAAGTTGAACCAGCCAGTGTGCTGTGTTCCCTTGACCTCAGTGATTGGTTCTGAGGCATGTACATAACCTACAATGGGCCAGTCAGATTGAACCTAAGGGCTTCTGCTTGACTTGGAAGGAGAAAGCGCTCTCCTTCCAGGACTTGGTGCTGAGGTGAAGCAAGAATTGTTGGTGGGGTTGGTGGGTATCCTGTCTCTGGAGGGCCACTTGCCGCTGAAAATGAGGCTTCTCCAAAGAAGCAATGTAGAGTGTGCCAAGGGAGATACAGGGCCAATGGTGTTCTAGACTGGCTGAAACTGATACTGAAACCAGACTATGCCAGGGACTTTAGTCATATGAGCCAATGATTTCTGGCTTTGGCTATTTGGGATTAGATTTTCTATCCTTGAAACTGTCCCCAAAGTTCTCACTGATACATGGAGCATGCACAGTTTTAGAGTTCATGTCGGCTCCCCAGGGAGTTGCATGGAGTACAGGAAAGGCAGATTCTGTGGCTTCCTCCAGAGCTCACCTGTAGAAGCTGTAATGTCCCTTCCCCAAAAATGACATCTTGAAGCTTCCCGAGAAGTCGGGCAGTTTGATGCTCTCCAGCTTCTTCTGCAGCATAGGCATCTCCTGCTGGCGGACTGAGGGCAGAACAGGGTGGGGGACATCAGAGGGGCAGCCTGCTGGTCCCTGTCCACTGTGGGGACAGTGGGACTGGAAGGGTCTACATCATAGGGGTCTGTGACAGTTTTCCATAGAGAGCCAGTTAGTGAATATTTCCAGTGGTGTGTTTCACGTTGTCTGTGTCACAGCCACAGCACTCTGATGTCACTGAGCCCGAGTAGCCACAGACAGGAGGCCAGTGAAAAATGTGACCATGTGGCAATGCTTTATTTACAGATGCTGGATTTGCATTTCATGTAATTTTCACATCTTGGGAGGTATTATCCTTCTTGCGATTTTTTTTTTCATCAATTTAACAGCGTAAGAAGGATTCCTAGCTCACAGGCCACACTGAAATGTGCAGTAGGCCACATTTGGTGAGAGGTTTCTAGTTTGCTGACCCCTGGCCTAAAATAGCCTATCCTCAAAAATCCAGTCATGCATCCTCTGAGTATCTGCTGCACACCTACTCCTTGCTTTGCTCTATGCCATGCCCCGCTACCTGACTTCTTCACTGTCCACAGGACCTTTGTACACGCTGCTTCCTGCTTCCCTCCATGTTCACCTGGCCAATGTCTAGTCACTTGCTTTGGGGACCTTCCCTCATCCAGTAGACCGAGAACCCCCCTTGTTATCATTTCCCCAATGCTGTGGACAGATGTCTCCTTTGGAGTCTCCATTATTGTTTGTAATTATGCATTTATTCATGCGGCTCTGATTAATGTCTCTCTCCCTTGCTAGATGTAAGCCCCCTGAGGTTATCGGCAATGTCAGTTTTATTTATTAATGTGTCTCCTACATTTTCCACCGTGCCTGGCACTTAATATTTGCTGGATAAATAAATGAATGCCCCAAAGGCAACAATTCTATCATCAGTTATTATGTAGCTAATAGCATCAAAGAGCCAATTAACAGGCAAACACATTATCTGAGAAAGATAAGTAGTAAAAACAGGGCACTTACTAGCCAGGCTCCTGGTTTTCCAAGAGCCTGTTTGAAAACAACCACAATAATGGTGATACCAGACTGTATCAAGTCCTCCCTCTGTGCCAGGTGCTGTTCTAGGCTGCACATGTCTGTCAAGTTACTGAGTCTAAATGGTCCTAGGAGGGAGGTCTTGTTACTGCCCCACCTCACAAGTGGGAAAGCTGAGGCTCAGAAAGGCAGTATGCTTTGTTCAAGACCATACAGCTGGCAAGTGGTGGAGTATGATTGGAACTCAGGTGTTCTAGTTCCAGAGCCCATGTCCTGAATAACACTGCATACGTGGTCACAATCCAGAGGAGAGAGAAAATATGGGACGGCCAAGACCTGGGTCCTTAGTGCAGGGTCAGAAGCCCACAGTAGCTTCTGAAGGTACTGGGGAGCCGCTGAATAGTATGGAGGGGTGTGAAAGCTAAACACATTGCTGTGTTTCAGAAAAATTCACTCTGGTTGCCATACAGAGCATGAGCAGGAGGGGAAACTGAGGCAGCTATGACTGAGCACCAGGACTTTTGGGCTCAAAGCTCTCAGCTGAGTATCTCCTCCCAGGGGCCCTACACGCACACCCCTTTTTCCTAGGTCAGGTGGGGCCTCTGTCCACACCCATGGCATCCAGAGCTGTCCTGCCTGGGTGAGAGTTCAGGATTTGGACTCCGGGTCACTCAGTCCTGTCCTGCTAGGCCCTGCTGTTGCCTCAGGGGATGGGAGTCTGCCCCGGCCTTAGTCTGATTTCCTGGGTTTGGGTTTCCCCACGGTGCTGCAGTCCATCTTTCTTCCATGGAGAGGTGCCAGTGAGCCACACTGGGGCTTGTGCACAAACCTGAGTCCCAGATGGGGCTGTCCTCTCTCACCACTCTCTCTGAGCCTGGGCCTACAGTCTGAGCTGCTCACCTGTGACTGTTGATGGTAACAATGTGTCCCAGCCAGCACAGCTGTGAGGCTAAAGGAGACCGCGTGGGTAAAGTTGCCAGACAGAGCCTGCCCCCCACAGAGCAGGCCAGCCAGGGCCCTCTGTGCCTTTCTGTCCTCTGTCTGGGCCTGGAGAAGCAGCCTGAGGAGTCCTCTCTGGGTCACTCAAGGGGTGCTATGCACAGTGCGCCTGCCAGCCCCTGCGCTAAGGAGGGCCCTTCCATGCCTGCTCCGCCTTGAGAGGCAAATGGCAAGGCTAAGAACAGGCTTTGAAAAGAAGAAATGGGCCTCAAAGCCTGAGATTGGGGGCAGGTAGAGGGGGTGGATCATGAGGACCCTAGCAGCACTGGGCAGTGGACTCGGGGTCCTCCAGACCAGTGCTTCCCTGTCCTGGGATCTTGGGCTGCTCACCTTGCCTCGTGTGTAAAACAGGGGCGAGGGAGCCCACCTCACAGAGCTGTGAGCATGCTCGGCACTGGATGTAAAGGGCTGTGCCAGGAGGTGCTCACAATACACCCTTCAGGGATGGGAGAAGAGACAAGAAAGGCACCAGTTACCGTAGTCCAGACCCGCTTGGGAGATCCTGATCACAAAGCCAGGGTTGGCGGCCGCTGCCAGGGCTGTGCCCGCAGTGGCCAGCACCACCAGGGCAGCCCATGTCCGTGTGCTGTCCTGGTCTCTGGCCATGTCCTCCGGTGTTGTCCACGCTGTCACAACCTGCAGGCCTTGGAGGTGAGCCAGAGACCTATAAAAGAGTCAGCTGGGGAAATGCACGTCAGAAAGTGTGGAAAGCAGGAAGGAACCTGGTGTGGGGGCAGAGTGGGGAAGCAGCTGGGGCTCCCCAGGGAGAAGGTGCTACAGTTCCAGAGGCAGCCCCGAGTGTCCCAAGGAGCGCTGCACATGTGTACGCATGTGCTTTGCATGTGTGTGCACACGGGTGCGGGTTGGCGCCTCTGGGCCTGTTTCCTCTTCCCAAGCATCCCATCCCCAATCCTTCCACTTAAGGACTTTTCCCCCCACAACACTGAGGATTGAACCTAAAATCTTCACACTGAGGTACAACCTCATCCCCTAAAAACAACTGCATTTTGAGACAGGGACTAAGTTGCTCAGCCTGGGTTCAATTTGTGATGCTCCTGCCTTGGAGGCCTCCCGGAGTGCTAGGATTACAGCAGAACTGGCTCACCCAGCTGACTTATTCCATTATTATTATTAGTTTGAGAGAGGGCCTCACTGTGTAGTTCAGGCTGACCTTGAATTCCTTATGCAGCTCAGGGTGGCCTCGAACTCATGGCCATCTTCTTTCCTCAGCTTCCTGAGTGCTGGGATTATAGACATGCATCACTTTGCCTGGTACAAATGACTTCTTGAAGTTGGGTGGTGGGGTACAGCAGAGTTTGTTAATCTTTATATTTTGGATTTCTTTTCACAGTAAAACATTTAAGAAAACATAACTTTGGGCATCTTCTTGTCCCAAGGAGCAGTGGTAGTAATGATTGCATGCTCTGGTTTGGGAATCTAGGTCCTTGGCTGCCCTCACTGGGTTACTATGAAGACTGAATAAGGTTTAAATCAGGTGACATATTCACACAATGTCCCTCTATGTGCAACATTAATGTTACTGATTTCAAAAGTCACTCATGTTCCTTGACCAAATTTTAAGAAAAGTCAAGAGAATATAAAGTAGAGTGCAGATAGACCCTTAACTTAGGAACTGGATTTGTGCCCAAGGCCTGATTGTGACTCAAGTTGTCAGTTGAAGGCTCAGGCTCCTCCACACAGCCTTCAGAGGCTCTCTCCTGTGCACAGGGAGATCTTAGTGTCCTTAGACTCTGGCCCAGGATTTCTCAGTGAACCCCATACAGGAAAGGATGTTGTAATGTTCCTGCCAGACTCTTTAAGGGTTCAATCTGTATTTGAGGCCATCAGAACGCACAAGCAGCCAGCATTCCAGTCATAACTCAAGACTTTGGTCATAAGTTAAAACTAAAATTCCAGCCATAGCCCAAGTTGTTCATATGTCAGGCCGGTCATAACTTGAGGGTCATGCACTGTATCATGGAAGCCCTCAAGAAACAAGCAGAAGCATCCTTTATAACATTGCTTCTGTGCTCTTCCCATTTATTTATTCATTATTTATTTATTTGGCAAGCATACATAGATGGTACCATTTGCTCTTCTAATGAACAAAAGTGGGGTCACACTGGTCGGTTTGGCAAAGTTCTCTTTTATCAATAAACAACATGTGGTGAGCCTTCTCCCCAGTGGTGAATGTTTTACTGCTTCCTTATCTCACAGTTTTCTTAACCAGGCCTCTGTTTTCCTATATTTCCTCCTCTTCCTTTGACCTGTGCAGAACCCGAAGCTGGACAAAGGGGAGAGATCTTCCCACCGGCACTCAGCAGGTCAGCAGAGCTACGAACACATCTGGGACCCAGCTGGAAAGCCTTGGGGGTTGGAGGATCTGAGACAGATACACCTCACCCACTCCCCAGCTTTGCAGTCCAGATGGTCTGGGTCCTCTCTGGGCTCCCACCCCGCCCCTCTCACTTCTGCAGCCTCAGCCTCTGGGTGGGTAGGAAGGGAGGGGAGCTCTCTGTTTCCATGGTGATAAGAAGGTGGCCCTGCAGGAAGGGATGGCCAGCTCCTCTCCTGCTGAGTCCCCATTAGCCCCCTGGTGTTGCCTCTCCCCACTCTTGATTTTATGAAAGTCTAATGAAGCCTGCTAAGCCTGAGGACATGAGACCTTCTGGGCTATTTTTTTCCTTTTTCTCTTCACATGGTTGTAAAAGGGTCTCTCTTTTTTTTTTAACGTTTATTTATTGTGTGTGTGTGTGTGTGTGTGTGTGTGTGTGTGTG